TCCGTGCTGATAGATTAACTGGACGGGGTGGCGGCTTGGCAGTCCTAGTAGCGGGGGACTTCAACCGCAAACATAGAGCATGGCATTCTAGGTTGAATTCCACTAGTTGGATTCGCCTGTACAACCATGTCATACGAAACGGCTACCTCATACACAGTACTGAAGAGCCCACGCACCACCCATTTAATCACCTTCAGGCACCAGATGTCATCGACTTTGCAATATCTAGAAACTGTAGATACAGTATCACTTCTCGAATCATGTATGACATTTCTAGCCATCATCTTCCTGTCGTACTTTAAGTGGGTAATGAGCACACCAAGAGGGAACTTCTCCAAGGAAACTGGTTGATTGGGAACTATACAAGTTGTTTCTCAGAGAGTTTCCCAATAGCCCGATCATAGATGATCAGAACGGTATAGACGCGACTCAAACGGAGTGGACACGCTTCGTTCAGCAAGCTCTGTAGCGTGCAGCTGTACTTCCTGTACAACAGTACGTCAAACCTTTTCTCTCTGCAGACATTCGTCAGAAAATTTCTGACAAAAGGGCTGCAATTAAGCAAGCGAAAAGGTCTTGCCATCCTGATGACATTCACAGAGCGACGAATCTTGTTCATGAAGTAAGAAATGCTCTCGATGAATTCCGCAATGAGCAATGGAACGATTTTCTAGCGGGGATGCTTGACTCAAGTACTCCTTTCTGGAAAGTGGCGAAGTCGCTCAGAAACGGAAAGCGAGAACAACTGCTGCACATCCACGGTCCTGGGGGTCATAGTCTTCAGGACAGAGGACAAGGTCGAGGTTTTCGCTGATGCTATGGAATGACAGTTCTCTCCCAACTATGATCTTGATAATGATCTCGACGAGGAGCAACAAATTGTAAGATCCGTCAGGAGATATTTTAGGTCCAACGGCGTCAGTGATCACGGCACCCGCCATTAGTGACTCTTCCTTAGAAGATTCTTCAGCTGAAGAGTTGCACAGCACATCAGTGGCTTCTCCCGAAATCCTGTATTGCACACCAGCAGAGCTTCAAGGTCATATTGAAGACCTCAAGGTGCGTAAAGCGCCTGGGGAGGATCAAATCACTAATAAGGCACTGAAGCTGCTTTCACGGAAGTCCTTGACTTATCTCGTGGCTATTATCAATGCCATTCTAAGGACCCAGTACTTTCCATCGGCGTGGAAGGCTGCGGAAGTTATAATGATTCCAAAGAATGTGCGTTCGATATTTCCCTAGGACTATCGTCCCACCAGCCTACTGTCTGCTCCGTCTAAGCTCGCTGAAAAGGTGATTCTACGTCACCTTGTGAATTTCTCGTCAGATCACCATGTGATTCCTAACGTGCAATTTGGATTTCGGTCTGAGCATAGTACGGAGTTACAGGCGGTTAGGCTTGTGGAGCGAGTAACCAGGGGCTTCACCCTTAACGAAAGTACTGGCATCTTGCTTCTGGATGTCTCGAGACAAGGTGTGGCACAAGAGCCTTCTCTATAAACTAATTCAAAAGGGATTTCCATTTTGGCTCCTAAACGTTTTGAAATCCTTCCTTGAAGGTAGTAAATTTCGGATCAAAATTAATAATTTCTTATCGACAGTACGGCCGATCAGGGCCAGCGCCCTCAGGGTTCGGTTCTAGGGCCAATCCTTTACTCACTTTTCACGCATGATGTCCCTTGCCCTAGCGACTGTGAAGTACCGGGAATCTGGTTCACGACAGGTTACAAAGTGCGGTGGATGAGGTATTGGAATGGGCACATCGGTGGCTAATCAAAATTACGTAGTCATGCCATAAGTTCTGTCCCTCGTTTTCAAACAAGTGTAGACCTGTTAATACTTGTCCGATTGTTTACATTGTGGTGTCAGTTGATTAAGCGCTTTTCGGGTAATTACATATACCTCAGTTTGTATTGATCTCTCGAAGCATAACGATGGAGTGGGGCAAGGCAGAGAACCGTATTGCAGTGATAGCTTTACATAAGTGTAATCACAGTGCTAGTCAGATTTTTGAACTCTTACGCGGCCTTCAAATATCGCGTAAATTTGTGTCTAGGACCATTCAGCGGTACAATGAGACGTCCTCTGTTGATGACAGGCCAAGAAGCGGAAGACCTCGTCAAGTAAGGACTCCAGCAGCCATCAAAGCCGTAAAAGCCAGGATTCAAAGGAATCCACTCCGGAAGCAGAAGATCCTATCCAGGGAAATGAAGATTCCTGTCCGGACGATGTCGCGCATCATTAAACAAGACCTAGGGCTAGGGGCTTACCGGAGACGTACGGGCCAGCGACTTACGGCCACCTTGCGACACATCAGGGCGACAAGATCCAAGAAGCTCTTGGAGAGGTACGCAGCTGGGGGATTCCGAAAGATTTTGTTCACGGATGAGAAAATCTTCACCATAGAAGAAAAATTCAACCGACAAAATGACAAAGTGTATGCAAGGAGTTCACAGGAAGCTTCGGAGATCATTCCGAGAGTTGAGAGAGGCCACCACCCTGCGTCAGTCATGGTTTGGTGGGGGGTGTCCTACGAAGGGGTCACTCAGCTCCATTTCTGTAAACAGGGCGTGAAAACAAAAGCGGCAAACTATCAGAGCGACATACTGGATCCTATCGTCAAGCCTTTAAGTGGTACATTGTTTGCCAACCAACACTGGGTCTACCAGCAGGATTCCGCCCCCGCTCACAAGGCTAAGAGTACGCAGCGCTGGCTGGAAAGCAATGTGCCAGAGTTCATTGCTGCGGAAGATTGGCCCTCAGGGAGTCCGGACCTCAATCCTTTAGACTACAAGTTGTGGGACCTGCTAGAGCAGTTGGCCTGCTCCAAAGCCCACCGTAATATCGAGTCCCTGAAAGCGGATTTGATCCGATCAGCGGCAGCTATTCCTTTGGAAGCTGTGCGTGCAGTGATAGATGAGTGGCCCGCGAGATTGAAGCAGTGTGTGAAGGCCAAGGGGGGACATTTTGAATAAAACTGTTTGATTATAAATTCTAAAAATGTTGTCGAATAAATAATATCTTTCATATAAATATATCTTATCTTGTTTCATTTTTATCATGAGATTATCATGGGACAGAACTTATGGCACGACTATGTAATTACTCAAAAGCGCAGGCTATCTATTGTACTAAAAAACGTAGCGGCGCCCCGCCTGAGGTTTCAGTGAATGGAGCTTGCATACCATGGGGAAATTCTGCGAAGTATCTCGGTGTCACTCTTGACAGGGGGATGACCTGACAGAATCACACTGAAGCGTTAAAAACTAAATTCCAAATTACGTTTCGGCAACTCTACCCGTTACAATGTAGAACCTCAAAAGTAAGTTTGGTTAACAAAGTTCGGTTATACAAGATGGTTATCAGACCAGCAATCACTTACGCATGTGCAGCATGGTGTTTTCTTGCCAAAACGCATATGCGTAATCTGCAGGTTTTGAAGAACAGAACCTTGCGAACCATCACTAACGCACCATGGTATGTCTCCAACGAGACCCTTCTCAGAGACCTCGACATGCCTTACCTAAGGGACTAAGTCAAACATCAGGCGCAGTTACGTTATAGTCAAGCGGAATCGCACTGCAACCTTCTGTTGCATGAGTCAGTAAGCTACACAGTCGAGCAAGATCGAAAGCATACAAGACCGCGGCTCGCACTGTGATCAAAATCAAATCGTGCAATTCTATATCTAACCAAAATTACGATTTTTGCCACACAAAATTACTAAATTAATTTTTGGATTAATTTAAATTAACCGAATACCAGTTAACAATAGCAAGGCATCCCTTTAACCGGCGCACTTCACCCTATTTGCTCTTCCCCCTTCCTTCCTTTCTTTCTTCTTCCTTTCTTTCCCCCTGACTCCGTCTGGTATCTGGGCAACCCGACCTGACAGACCTACTGGTCTACGATACTTTAACAAAGAGCGAAGGTCCCACGGACCGCTCTGAGTATTACGTATCTTGAAAAGTGACGTTATATCCATTTTTTCGACATTAGACTGTTTTTTTTTTGACATTTTGTAAGTTTTTCTACAAGATGTTAACTTAGCACTTAGTTGTACGTGTTGCCTAAACGTCATGAGGCTTCAGTTATCAATGTTTGGCTCTGATGTGATGTAAAATCTGCTTCAGAGATGACATTACTGGAGGTCTAAGCTGTAAGTTGTATGTGTTGATGTTAATTCCATTGGATTCTTGTCTCAAATACTCTTACTTCAGATTCTAAACTAGAAATTAGTTGCCCATACATTTTTTCTTATCCATTCTGGAAATTACATATGCAAATTTGCTGAATTCCAAAAATGATAGAGATAAGAAATAATTATATTCACTGTACACTGTCGAATTACAAGCCATATGCATGCTAACAGTAATCACATACAACGCGGGCGCGGTGGTGATTTTTTGTAATGTTTTAAAACAAAAGAAAAAAACGAGAAAAATCGTAATGTATAACTTTGAACATAACCTCCCTTCAGAAAGCACAACACAAATAACTCGTCGGGCACAGCTAACAGATATACTTCATTGGCAGCATATTCAGTAATGATTTTCTCACACCGCAAATATCACTGATTTTATACACATGCAGACACAAACATCCAGATGCGATCTTGCTATTCAACCAACTTTTTTCTCGGAGATGAAAACTACAGACCAATCGGCTTCACAAAACATATGCAACCAACAATGCGTGTAGTTTAGTAGAGTCATTCCTCCATAGGATGGACGCTCACAACGATCTTAGTAAGCAAACGTGGAATGGCTGTTTGTACCGTAAAAACTACCTAGTCTGCAAGATGACATTTTATAAGTTTTTTTTGACGTTTTATAGGTTTTTTATATAATACCCGTGCCCTGCGAGGTCGAAGCGGGCCGTTGGCACTAGTTAGTAATATATACTTTTTTTGAAGCAACAGTAATATTGCGTCAAACATTTTTTCTTTGGAAAATACCCCGTTGATAGCTTATCAATGATACCAATTCATTACAAAATACCTGACAAACAGGATAACAATGCGATCTTAGCGGCAACTCTAGTTCTATTTTTGATATCACTATCCCTCTGGACTTTTTTGTCACTCCGTACTCCGTTTGGCCAAAAAGATTGCCTGAAATAAAAAAATACTGTTAGCTAAAAATAAAGTTAAATGGTAAAAATCCCCTATATAAAAGTTGCATAATAAAAGAAATGGTAAAGATCAAAAATTTAAAAAAAAATAAGAATGTTATTACACAGATTTTTTGATATTCTCGACCACTGCTGTACAAAATCTTAGCATTTTTTGTTTACTACTCTTATCGTTTATCTAAATTTGGCAAATTTTTTGTGTTATTGTATAGTTTTCAATACGAGTCTTTGGTTCGATCAGTTGTATCAGTCTTTTAATAGTGCGTATACTTTCGACTGATCATTTTGTGCGAAAAAATTTCCCATGTTTACGAAAACAATAAACTAGTGGACATAATACTAACATACGGAGAGTGCTAACAAAATGCAGCCGCAGCATGCAGGTTGTAAGTAGAAATGTTTCCTTTAAGAAATTATCCGGCCCCAAGGATGGTTGTACATTAAGTTATTGGACTTCGTGATACCGGATATTTGAAAGAACAACGAGGAGGTCACGCTTGAAGACCTGCTCAACCTGAAATGTTATAAATTGTAGAAGACATTTTAGAAATGGTCGAAGACGACCCAACAATGAGTACTAGAGCCAGAGCAGCTAAGATGAAGTTTCTCATAGTAAAGTGTGGAATACAATACGATAAGAACATTATCAACTGGTACAAGCGTTACAACCTGAAGAGCATCCTAGAAGAGTTGCATTTTGCCAGTCGATTTTAGTTCAGTTCGGCAGAAATGAAGATTTTACAAAAATTATTTTGTTTACAGACGAGGCCACATTTACACGAAATGGAGTGCACAATTTCCACAACAATCATGTTCGAGCAGTATAAAATCCGCATGCTCTAAAAAGAACTCATTTTCAAAATAGATTTTCATTAAATGTTTGGGCTGGTATGGCAAATGACTTACTTATTGGTACTTTTTTCGAGGTCAACTGACCGGTGAAATTTATTTAGATTTTCTTCAACACAATCTGCCACAATTATTAGAAGATGTTCCTCTAAATGTGAGACAAAATATTTCGTTCCTACATGATGGGGATCCACCCCTTTTGAGACGCGAAGCTCATGAATATCTAAATAATGAGTTTCCGAATAGATGGATACGGCGCAATGGACCCATTTATTGACCTGTTCGCTCCCCGGACTTAACGTCTTGCGATTTTTTCTGTGTGACTATTTGAAAGAGATGGCGTATCATGATGGAGCAGTAAATACGCTGGAAGCACTTCAACAGCCCACTGAAATTGCTTGGGATTAAATTTATGGACACCAGGATTTTATTTTCGAATCTTGTAAAGAGTCGTGAATTCGCCGAGCAAGATATTGCGTTAATCGAACAAATGGGGACAATTTTGAGCAGTTTTTGTGAAAACGGTATCCATAAGTTGATAATAATTTTTTTAAATAATTTTTAATAATGTAAACTAACTCTCTTACTACGTAACTTTTATATAGGTGATTTTTTGTATATAAATTTCTTTTGATGAGTTGTACAAGCTGTTGAAATAAATGACTCAACTTTGAAAACACCCTGTAAAAGCCATCTATCTATTTAATATAGAACGTCTTTCTATTAATTTTCATAAAATCCATAAATTGATTTTTATGAACGGGCTCATTGTAGTATTAGGATACTTACTTAAATACATATAAGTAGTGCGCGACCTTCTTAGGACTAGTGATGATGGACACATAATCCAATATCCTCCTATTAACTATATCACCGAACATGGTCCTCACAATTTGCCTAAGTAATGTAACAATTCGTCTGCGTAACCACTGATTCCGAGATTTAAGATCAAACACCTCGTCCATCAGTAGCAACATTATCCTTAATGGTATGTTGTCATCAGTCTAATGAAAAGAAAACATAATGTGACGTCAGCACTTGGCATTTGTGTGAAATTCAATTATACAGGGAGTCCCAATACTCCGTGGATATAACATAGAAGTACCACGTATTTTTAGACTCAAAATAAGTAGATTGAACATGATTTACCTCTATGCAAAAGTGCTTCGTGTGTCCGTTTGAGTTTTTTTTAAACAAATTTTTTCATTTATTTTTGTACCCCATAATCTGATTTGAATGAAATTTGGAACACATATGGTTTTTTCTAGACGTATTTGACTTTTACAAAAAAAAAACGAAAGGGTTCGAGAAGTTGGAAAACTACCCTCACTCCTACATAAATTATAGCAGAATTTTATTGCTGCTCTCCTAACAACTCTGATTTTTTTATCTAAAAGAAGCTTTTATTTCTTTCATTTTTTGTCTCTTATAGTTATCGAGAAAAAAATGTTTTTCGGAGCAGATTAAAAAAAATCTTATTGCATCAAGTGTTAAATTAATGTTTCAATGCCAAAACACAAATGAGAAATCTGCAGGTTCTGCAAAGCAGGACGTTGCGCACGATTACTGACGCCTCATGGTATGTCTTTAACGAAACCCTTCACACACCTCGATGTCCCTTACCTAAGGGACATCATTAAGCAATTAGGCGCAGTGGCGTTAGAGCCAAGCGGAATCGCACAGCAACACTCTGTTGCAGGAACCAGTGTACTACTCAGTAGAGAGAGTACGCACGCACATAAGGCCGTAGCTTGCACTGTAATCAAAACTAATTCGTGAATTTCGAACAACACCAAAATTAAAGCATTTTGATAAAATCTTTGAAAAACTCAAATATTTTTAGACCATCAAAATCTGTCAAATAATTTTAACAATGCGTAAATGCTGTCTGTCCAGAAAAATTTCCTTCTTCCTCTTTGCTCTCTTTCTTCTATCATTTACTTCCTTTTTTCCTTAAAATTGTCTGGTTTCTCGGTTACCAGACCTGACAGACACCAGAGCTAGAGTTCCACGGACCGCTCTGACAACCAACGATGACTTGGTCAAGTAATAAAATCTACAAATCTAAAAACTTTGAGAGATTTGAAGGTAGATGCATTGGTAGAGATCAAGAAGCTACTATTCAATGATCACCCAGTTCCCCAGATCTTAATCCTTGCGATTTTTTATTTGAGGAGCATTAAAAACGAAGGTATTCGAGGTTCAGGTAGACAACGCCTATCAACTATGGAACAGGATTCAAAATGCTGCAAATACATTAAAGAATAGTAACATCTTAGAGAAAGCTAACTATAATTTTTTGCCTCTTATTGTTCTGTGCAAAAATGAAAGTGGTGGTCATATTGAACACCTTTTATGAAAGATTCGCACTATTGCCTGTATTAAATACTTGTACTCACTATTCTTTTCTCGAAAACTATACTCGAGATGGCCTGTTTTTATATGAGACAAAAAAGAAGGAAATAAAAGGATCTGCTAAATAAAGAAAAATCAGAGTCGTCGGGAAAGTGGCCAAAAAAATTCTGCTATAATTTATATATGTGTCGGGGTAGTTTTCACTCTCCTTGAACCCTTCAGATTTTTTCGTAAAAGCCGGAACGTCTAGCAAAACATATATATGTTCCAAATTTGTTTCAAATTTTTTCATAAAATATCTTGAAAACGTGTTTTATAGAGAAAACCTTGACGTCCTCTAACGGACAAACGAAGCACTTCTGCGAAGAGGTAAATCATGTACAATTGACTTATTTTGAGTCTAAAAATACGTGGTAGTTATATGTCCACAGAACTTTGGGTCACCCTGTATATAAATACTCTTATATAAAATGAAATAATCATTTTGTTATGTACACATATTTGCAATTTTTAGAAAATAACACCTGAAATTCCAATACAATGCCAGCAGTCTTCAGATTATTTTTTCTTTAAAATAATTTCACACATCCAACATTATATTTTTAGATTATGCTAATCGACTGACATATGAAACAAGATGTTTCAATATAAAATTGTATTCCTCTAACTATACATGCGCGGTCTCGCAGACCGCTGGCAGTTTCTAATTTTCGTGTTTTACTGACGCCGTAAAAGGTTAAATTTGTTAAAATGTATAAACAATAAGATTTATTAAATAAATATAAAGCATTTAGCTTAAATAATACTAAAGTAATCATAAAAAAATCTAAGAATTTCTTTCAATTTCACGTTGTCCCTGTAAGTGTGACAAAAAAAAAACGTCCACAGTTAAAGGTTGAATTTAGATATATTACCTCTTCTATAGATGCACCAACTTTGCTAGCCTCTGGAATCCTGCCAGGTTTTGCATGAAATACTTTGGTTAGACCTACAACAACTTCATCTACGGTATTTATCAACTGTTCTGGCATATTTCTGATAGTCTTCATTCCCGTCTTTAATGGATTCACTAAAGTATCAATTGTGCTAGATATTGGCCCACCAGTAGCTCGGTCGTATTCTCCTTGCTCCAGGAATGTCATCAGCAGATCTCCCAATCCATGATATGAGGATAATACCGAATTATGGCACAATTCATTCATGTAACATCCTAGCATTTTCATCCGCCTTTCTAATACTGCTCTGTCCATATTGTGGAATGTTTTCTTACCGGGAAATGGCAACTTCGATAAATTAGGGTACTGAAATATTGGAAAATCGTAGTGGTGGGAATTGAATTTATTTTAGTATAAAAAATGCCGTCAAGTTGACTATACCAAAGAAAAGCAGTGCGCACCGCCAGCCAGCAGTACGGAAACGATTACCGACTGTGTCGTACGACGCTGATCCATCGGGGGACCACGCGGCACTACCGACACCCGACTGTAGGAGATATTTATGGGTAAATCTACGGGGATATCTATGGTGAGTGAAATATGCCTAATATGTGCGTAGACTTATTGGAGTTGGAGGCGTATAAGGATACTAAAGTCAAGGAGGATCCTCTGAAACGTCAAAAAGCGAAGTTTGAGCGTTTTCTTTTCATTTGTTTTTGATCTGCTCTGCCGCCACTGTGCCGATTTTGAAAAACGACAAAGCTTTTTCGTCGTTGGCATATAATAGTAACATTGTTTAAGAATTTTATCGAAATCCGAGCGGTACTTCTCAAGTCAACATCCAAAAAACTTGATATCTCATTTCCGAAAATTTTCGCGATTACAGTACTTCCCCGCCAGTAGGCGTGCGAAATAAAAATAGGAGGCCTAGAAATGCTGACCATCTGATTCATAGATGCAAGATGCACTAATCCTTGAAACAGTATAAGCTAAAAAGATTCTGTCTACTTGACTGAGCTAGCTTTGCTGTATACAGTTTTCATACTCAATACGATTATCATTCTATAGATACTTTCTTTACCTATGATTCAATGAAATCCATTTTTTTAAACTCCACATGTCACATGACATTTGAGAAAGGTGAATACACATTCAAAAATTATTTTATATAATACTAGAAGTAAATTATGTGAAACTCAAACATACTAACCCTTTCCTTGACCTTAGTATACAGGTCATGAAAATCACTATACCTCCTATAAATATGCCATTCTTCTTTATATCCCGTCTCATATTGCCTGTTAACTCTTATTGCATAAATGCCGAAGGTTTTGCCTTTCTCGCAAACAATACCTAAAATGAAACATTTGCTCTTAAAAGATTCCTTATTAATCCGATATCAGAGAGATTTTTTTCTAATTGATTCAATACATTATGCTGTTACTGCAGAGTACCGTGAAAGCACGGTACTTTAGGCAATAAAAAACCGAAAACCAGTTTCACGTAGAAGTAAAGACTTTTGTTTCAGGTAATACAAAGAATGTACGAAAAATGCGTTCCGAATTGGAAAAACCAATCGACATACTTCAATATAGATGCTAGTCTCATATTTTGGATTTATTACCCAAAGATTTAAAAATTCCTTCGGCAACTTCGAACCCTTTAAATATTATAAAAAAAAATATTTTCGGAACAAACATGTACCATCTGGACTCTACAGTAAAGCTGGAGGCAAAACATTGGTTATGCCTCTGGAAATAAGGCGGAGCACACTAAATAATGCTCTAAAGTCCTTTTTAGACAATACAGGAGTTATGGTTCAGTTATGTCAGGATCATAAAAATGAAATTGAAAGCGTATCTGTATGTGTGGAGATATGACATAAGTTTGATATAAATTTGACTTAGATAGATTAGAAAAAGTTTTTTCACAAAAAATATGACACTTGGACCCATGCATTATTTGGCAAACAAAACAAAAAAAAGGAGAAGCTTTTGAGTACTTAAACAATATTAACAGTTATTCTGTTCCATTAGTTATAGCTCTTACATCAAAAGTAAACCCATTTCCAAAGTATTTTTTTAATGAACATATTAGGCTTACTCCTCCAATAACGTGGTGGATATCGGTTGCTGTATTGGCCAGACAAAGATGCGTTTTTAAAGTTATGTGAACAGTTGAATATTACAGTATAGTGATGTGCTTTCTAAGTCATTTCGTTGAACTAGTTCAATAGGCGCTCTCTAAAACGAACTAGTTCTACGATTAGTTCACGAACAAACTATTTTACACAAGAATAATGTCAGTGAAAGCATCGCCTCTCAACCTTTCAGCCGATCGCCGGAGTTTAGCAGTGCCGGGAGCGGTTAATATTTGGATCGGTGTTTGTTTTTTATTTAGATGGACGTTTTTCAAATTTAAATTCTCAACGTAAACTGTCGCTTATATCAAAACGTTTTCTAGCAATATCAAATAGTGTGGGGTATACTTTTGTTTCGCTTCGAAACACCTCGCACTGTTGTTTTTTTGGTTTTTCATTTTTTTTGTATGATGGATTTTTCAAATTGAAATACTCCACATAACCTGTCGCTCACAGAGTAGATGTACCTTGAGATACACACGTTTTCTAAGAATCCCAAATAATGTACACTTTTGTTATCACCAGTTCAAATGGTTTCCAATAAATATTACATACCTATGCAACCATAGGCAAGTAGACGTTTTTTTTAGTATCGCAGACAAAATAAACTGAAGAAAAAGCCGATAAAGTTAAAAAAACGAATGTTCTTAAATGGAAATTTCTAGTTAATTTTCATTTTAGTATTGTTTTAATTTCTTCATGAGCCTTAATAGGCGCGTACTTTTTTATAAAAGTTAGCTAATCTTTTTCTTTCAGCCATTATAACTAACGTAACGGCATTTGCCATGTCTTTTCATAACTTCCAGGCAACCAGTTATGCAACCTTCTGCTTACGGTTGTCTTTTCGTAGTGAACGAGATTTTCAAGAAATGATGAACTAGTTTACTTAGTTCAATCATGAGAATCGTTCGATTAAACTAGTTCGTTTGTGAACTACACATTACGACTGCAAAGGCATCTGCGGCAGGGACTGCAAGAACTTTTTCATGTTTTGGTTTGGTCAAATCTAATTTACGAAATCGCTTAGGAAACCAAAAAGCCAATAAATTGGCCTTCATGTTTAAGTACATGAATCAACATATAGACAAAAAGAAAAGCAATCTTGAATGGGTATGGGAAGTAGCTATATCTGAAGATATTGGAGATAATATCTCTAACACCATTATTGATACTAATTCATCAGATGATATGCCAATATCAATCTTGATAGAATAAAGAAAAATAATCTATTCGTTTTTCAATGTTTTTGTTTGTTTGTTAGCGGTAAAATAAAATGCTATGTTGTTTAGAATATAAGTTTTCATGTGTTTGTGTCCAAATATATAGTATTTTATGGATAAAATTTAATAATGCTGTTTCTATTAAATAAAAAAACTGAAAATTTTATATATTATTGGATATGTATCAGATATATATCGGATATATGTCATGTGATATGATATTTATATAAATATCATATTTTCGGCAAAGCTCGCGGCGCTCGTTAATGACTCTTTCCTTCTCTCATGCAACCCAGGGATTGATAGTTTACTTGATCCTAATAAAATCCACAAATAGCACATTTCAGTACCACATTATTGTAAGAATACTCACCAGTCTCAATAATAGCCACCGTTAGAGAATAATCACCAGTTTTATACATACTTTCATCACATTTTTTCTCAGGTTCCTTCACGTCCTCGCCTAATATCACCTTCCTTTCTTGACTAGATCCAAAAAGTCTTACCTTAAAATTATCAAAGCGTTGTTAGACCCTACTACCTACGTAAAAAACTTTTGATGTTTACCATATATTTGGCATTTTTGTTAAATATTTTCCATTCTGACAAATTGTATAGTGAATTGTCATTAATTGTCATGGCAGCATTGTAAAAAAAAAGAAAAATTGAACATGCAGTTTAAATCTTGACATTTTAATATGATTAGTTCGTGTATTGCAGAGTAGAAAAATATAATCGTTAGGGGATTACAATGCTACTAAGCATCTACCAAGCGCACCGAAAGGCGTGAGGTACTATATTACTTAAATTTTGTGTTTAAAAGTTGAGATTTATACGGATGTATAAGTAAGCAATTGGATAATGTTAGTATACATGGCATATAAAATGCAACACCCAGAATTATTTATTGAATTTTGATCAAAAAAATATTTGCTATCATGGAAGTATACCTGATAAAATGTTGACTATGACTATATTAACTGTATAGGAGCCCTGAAGCAAATTTTTCAACTTTTTTGAATAACCTTAGTGACACACTTCTTCAAATATGTAATATGTTCCAAAATCAGTCGATCTTAGTTTGTGGTGACTTTAACATTAACTTTATAAAACCAAGTGAGAATTTGAATCTCCTTTTGGATATTCTCAATTCTTGGAATGCTGTGCCAACAATTAGCGAATCCTCTTGATAATGCAACTGTTTGGACAATGTTTGTGAGAACCTTAGCATTGGCAGCTGGTCAAGTAATTAACGAAAACGTCAGTAATCACTTAGGACAGGTAATTCAAGTACTACCTTCGGAAATTAATATCTGATTCTAAGAATAAAACGAAAACTGTAAGGAAAATCATAAAATCGAAATCTAATAAAAACCTGGTTGTGAACTTAATCAATAACAGAAAAATTAAAATCCTAAAAAAAATTCCAGACATGCTTAACAAGCACTTTGTTGAACAACCACTTAAAATAAAAACAAATCCTTCAAGAAAAATATTTAATTGACAATTTAAAATGTTCCGATTCCACTGGGGATGATGCTATCTGTTCAAATATAGTTAAAACATGCGCAAAATGGATTGTGGAGCCTTTAACTCATATATTAAATTGTGCGCTAGCAGAAGGAGTATTTCCCGAGTATTTGAAGTCAATGAAAATGCGACATATCCTGTATAGACAATTTTAATTCAATTTCACTACTCAGACCTTTCGCAAAAATATTTGAAAAATATGTAGTTAGACAGAACTAGGAGAGTAACGTTGTCGCTATTTTATAGTGTCCGACAAAGATAGATGATGCTATGTACGTCGACACATCATTCTTCCCCATTCATTAATATATAATAATTGTGATTTTTCAGGCTAGTACTGAAAAATAATAGTTTACTTTAAAATATTTGCAAAACTTGTAACGAACAGACAGGCAACAGACAGAAAAAGAAACGTTAAGACCACATCACTGGTTACTATGTGTGAGAAGATATTTTAAAATATAACTACCGTTCTTTTATGGTACTCTATTGTATAAAGTTTCAAGATATAAATTTCAAAATTATCTGTATAATGTCTCAAAGAAGAGATCCTCTGTTCGCCATCTTTTTCTGAAAAACGATAACCTCAATTCAAAAAAACTTTCACTTACGCAGCACCTTGTTTGTTGAATAAATATTTAGAACTTTTCCAAATTACTTCCAATCATAACTTTAAAAAGGGAATTAAGGTGCTTCTCCAGTTGCAAGCTTTTGAAGCTAAAGACTATTAACTAACGATTTACTGTTATATTTTATTTACAGTGGTACCTCAATTTTATAACATTACTTTATGTTAAATTTGAGATAAGATGAAGCTTACGACTGTATAAAATAATTTTTATAATTGCTGTAGGCGACGGTGAAAAGTGGCAATGCCAATCCTCAGCCGTTTGGAGTATTGTTTTTTAATATACAGGGTGTAAAATTAGTAGTGGATCAACAGAAGTCAGGTGATAGAGGGCTTCAAAACCTATCGAATGAACCCCTATATGTGTGGTCCGAAATTTTATAGTTCAGGAGATATTTGCATTTTGTGAAATTTCGAAAAAGAAAACGGGATAATGAACTTTCAGTTGCAATTACAACCAAACCATTAGGTTTAGGGCTGTGATTTTTTTTTGAGATGAACTAAACACTACAAGAACAGAACCTATTGAGTTTAGTCGCTCTTTATGGCGATTTACCGACAAATGTGGAAGATAATTTAGTTTAACTAACTTTTAAAGAACATGTTCGAGATGGCCTCCATTATTTTCTATACACAAGCGACATCTTCTAATAAAACTTTCCATAATTTTTATTTTTGCTTAATTTTCTAGCGCAGTTGGTTGAATTTGTATATTCAGATGTATAGATTATCTTCTTATAAAAAAACCCTAGAGGATCTAAATCGGGTGGCCTTGGAGACCATCGTAGGTGTCCACCTCTGCCTATCCAACGCCCAGGAAAGGCACTGTCTAAGTAATGGCGTACATCCCGTGTAAAGTGACATGGGGCACCATCGCATTGAAAATACATGCGGCATAGAACGTCCAAAGGTACATCCTCTAGCAGGTCATGCAAACTGCTTTGTAGAAAAGCAATATATGACTGACCATTCAACCTGCCGGGCAATTCATATGGTCCAATTAATTTTTTGTTGAGTACTCCAGCCCATAAAGGAACGCCGAAAGCTGTGTCGGCGAATAGCGTGTGGATTTTCCACGCTCCATTAATGGAAATTGTGTATGTTCCATTTCGGTTAAAGTTGGATTCATCTCTTCAAAAGTTTCATCATTTCAGCTTCTCAACATATTCTCACAAAATACAACCTGCATAATCGCTTGGAAGCAGTTCTTGTACTTTTTGTACATGGTAAGGATGCATGTTCTCCAAGCGTAGTATGTGTGCACTGAAGTATGGGCGATGTTTCTGCCTCGGGCAATGGCTCTGGTGCTTATAGAGGGATCTCTCTCGGCTGCTTCTATATAACTATTTCTTCTGGGCGTATCCTCGGCGATCCTAGCTGACGATGAGTGTCTAGTATGCGGCTCTCTATATACGCATTATGGACGCATAGAAAAACACGGTAGTCGGATTATACCGCCGGTAGTGGTCCACCTCTTCTAACCACATACTCCCGATACATGCGAGCAGCTGCTCGAGCATTTCCTAGGGCAGCACCATAATAGTAATGCATTTCTACATAATCTCGCGGAGAATATGACATGATTCTACTCTGATGTCAAACGTTAGATACAAATTCCGCGCTGGACCATTGCCTGACTTAGTAATTTCGGTCGGATCGAAGGTTGAACGGTCCCGCACGTGCAATGCCGAGTTGAATGCCCAAGCGCATTAAGCTAATTTGGCTATTTGCGTAAAAAATCCGCCATTTTGATTTTACAAAATGTTAATACACACAGTATCACTCGCACTGCTAGGACGAATCTAACAGTACCTCATATGTCAAAATCCATCAAGTCGTTTGGACTGTAGCTCGTAAAATAGAATTTCTTGTTTACATGTATAGATACTCACCTGAGTCAAACATACGGATTTTTTAAGTTGAGGCACTTATCGTAGCAAGCGGAAATTTTAAGGGTTTATTCTACATAGTTTTTACAATAAAGTGAATAATGAAATACAACATCAATTTTTTCTACCGCCCTCCAAAGTTGAGGGATGGAAGAGATTTTTTACAAAAAAATTAATCTAATATTTGTTGCGTTGATTTCTAATTAGCTCTGTTAAAAGGTGACATAACCATTGCTAAAGCTAACTATTTAACTCAACTAAAAAAAAATCACAGCCCTAAACCTAATGGTTTAGTTGTAATTGCGATTGAAAGTGCATTATCCCGTTTTTTTTTCGAAATTTCACAAAATTGCAAATATTTCCTAAGCTATAAAATTTCTGACCACATTATATAGGGGCTCATTTGACAGGTTTTGAGGCCCTCTATCACCTGACGTTCGTTGATCCACTACTAACTTTACACCCTTTATAATTGTTTTCATTACTATGATATATTACTACATTTAATTTGATTGGACTTTGAAATATACCGTAACTGAGAATTTCCTTACAGTCTGGCAACCCCGTTACATAAAGCCGACACAATGTCTGCATCATAGAACGGTGCGTAGGCAACGCGGCCGCTATATTATAGTGCCGGACAAAGATAGATGATCTTATGTACGTCTACACATCATTCGTTTTCCAAGTCATTTTCAAATACTCCAATTCATAAGGACTAGGACTTTCAGGCTGCCAAAATAATGGGATAGATAAATACAATCAACAACAATAATTCCAGACATAAAATATACTCCTTATTGACTTGTAGTAAAAACAATTACATATACGTAATTTTCAAATTGGATAACTAATATCAGTAACGATTTTCTGACCAACAACCCAAAATGAATGCTCACATTTATTATTTATCTAGATTTTTTACCGTTCTTTTACGGTGGTCTATTGTATAAAGTTTCAAGATATAATTCTCCAAGTTATCTGTATAATGTCTTAGAGATGAGATCCTCTGTTCGCCATGTTCTTCTGAGAAACTGTTATTGTTATAATACTCCAGGCGATGCCACATTTGAATTTAAAAAAGCTTTCACTTGTTTGTTGAGTAAATATTTAGAACCTTTTCAAATGATTTCCGGTCATAACTTTAAAGAGGAATTTAATATGGTGCTTCTCGAGTTACAAGCTCTTGAAGCTACAGATTGTTAACTAGCAATTTTTTGTTTATTTATTTACATTGGTACCTTAATTTTATAACATGTAAAATTAGAGATATGAAGGAGCTCACGACTACATAAAATAATTTCAACTTGCTGATTCTCTTTGCAATTGCTGTATGGGTGACGGTGAAACATGGCAATGCCAATCCTCCGCATTGTATATATTTATTTTGTATAAGTGCTTCAATAAACATTATTATTACTTTACTAACAAACATAATAAATCATAACATACCTCTTCTGCTTTCCCTGTAAACGTTGTAACATCGCTGAGCGATCTCACGTGCTTAACACTTTTTTGGTTGTAATCGACTGTAAGAAAGTCAAACTTCTCAACATGTTGCGCAGACGTCATTGCTGACTGCTGAGCGTCGTTGTTTTCCAAGCTCTCGTTGCTGTTCACACTAAGCACGTCTTCCTCATTATTCGTTTGTTGTACTAAATCAAGCTCTTGTAGCAGGCGGAAGTAAGCTTTACTCTTCCTGAATGGCGGTAAAAATTCTGTTTCCATTCTCTCATATACAACTTCGAGCACTTTGTCAAACCACGAGGCACAAGGGACTTCGTTCAAGTTTCTTATTTTGAAATGCAATGTTTGTACTAATGTTGATTTTAGCTGCACTCGGTTCTCACACTTCTCACCCAAATATTGTTCAAAAATACTGAACGCAGTCGACCTGATATTATCATATACAACAGCAACATTTTCAGCACTAGCCTTTGATTTATTCAACTGTATGTCTGATAATTGCTGTTCTACAGATACTTTCCATGCCTCAATGTTCAAATAAAAAAATAAATCCAACTGTTTACCCTGACTAGAAACAAAATCTATTAAATATGAAAGTGCTATATTATTTTTTAATATCTGATCTAAAGTAAGACTAATTTTTTTAATACTATCGAGCTGCAGATCCTGGTTTTCCAATGATGTGGCAAAATTTTCCATTTTAGACAATTTGCTATCTATTAGCTTTACCACATAATTTAAACTACTCAGTTGCTGCTTTACAGATAGATCACTATCGCCCCCAGAGTCCCTAGATCTCAAGGAATTGATTTCTTCAAGAGTAAACTCTTTGGTACTCTTAAGTTCATCACAGTTGTCGCTTAATCTCAGTGTAGTAAGGAACACATCACTTGACAACTGGTTTTCGCGTAGACACAGCCAAATAATAGCCTGATTAATATAGTCAGGATCAGAGACCAAATTAAATAGTGGTAAAATAACACAGTTCGCGCATATCTCTCGTAACACAAAACGAAGGGGTTTGCACTGAAAATCTTCGTCGGGCAGCAATATGTATAGGAGTACTTCCATCAGCTCGCTCAAGAACTCTGTAACAAAATTTCAAGTGAGAAATGGAACATGACAGCGATCCAAAGATTACTGCAGAGTATCTAACATCAAACTACGTAAATTTAAAAAACGTGTAAACTACTTCGCGATTTAAAGAACCCCGGAGAAAGCTTATGAGGGATGGCTTTCTGCTATTTTCTTTTGAAATCCAGTATATCGTTGTGGGCTCGGTTCACGATATGTAACAGCTGTTTTATATTTATATACGTTCTTATCATGATCCCTACTAGTCGGTTAACCACTCTTGCAATTCTTATCAGATATACAGGGTAACCCAAACCTTGCAAGAATGGAGTATACTTTCTTTCTCATATTAATTTGAATGAATGACTCAGGTATTTCTAATAAGTGAAATAAATGTACAGCTATTACAAGAAGTCATTTTTTCTATACTCCAACTACCACGAAGGCCACCCATTGGGTACCGTGGGGCTATAGGGGGATACATGGGAAAGGGGGAACACCACACGGACTCTGGCGAGGGAACACGTGTACATGCAACATGCACACATTCTGGCTCCGCCTACGAGATCCGCCGGGTGGTAACTCCGCGTTCGACAGTCAGACACCGTCTACCACCTACGGACAATCACAACATCCATAGCCAAGAGAAAAATTTCTCCTGGGATGGGGCTCGAACCCGCACAGCGCACGGCGACTGATCAGGAGACCGAAGAGTCTACTACTGCGGCCACCGCTGCAGCCTGATGAGATGTATTCGACTGGCGCAATGCGTTGTTCATGACAACATACATAGACCAACTGTTGATAACACCGTCAAAATCCAGAGGAAATGAAAACGTCGAGTGGAAGCTGATGTGCGCTTGTAGGAGGAAAATAAGAAATATAGTTTATGGTTTTTACAAAGAGAGATATTAAAAATATCAAATTATTTTTTTCAACTATCAAAAGATGTCAGATGGCCAAATGAATAATGCAAGTTCATGTGGCGTGCAAGAACATATTTCACATTCATTGTATAGCGGCATGTGTACTCGTATCTATCCAGTTGAAGGCTGTATGTAAAGCGGGACATACACGCTAATAATTTGCCAAGCAGCCTGGTTTACTAGCTATTATGGATACTCAGATTCATAATTCCGCCTCTGTATGGTCTGTATGAATATTTTGGTGAACAAATCATAATGAACTGTCCCTCTGTATCTCTACCCACACTCCGCCGATACACGACGCGAATCCGTACCGAAAATCTCACTGCGTTTAAAAAGCTTCATTCCAACCAGGGTCTTTGATTTCTTGCCTTTCGTCTTTCACCCATAAGCAATTCGTCTATAAAATGCTCAAGCTGATAAGTCCTTTATTACCAACGGCAGATATGAGGGTAGAAGAAGTTGCGGCGGTTTTAAATATAATGATATTTCATCATCTTTCCTATTTTTAAATCTTCATAACACAAGAGATGAAAATATAAAATATACACACTCCATGTAAAATTTCTCTAAGAATTCTGGTTGCTATGCTCAAAACTCTAATTGTTATGGTAACCTGTTTATGGCATGTCTTTTCGGAAAACATTAGCGGGTATGTTTAGCTTTTGCTTGGAGTGATCCACCAGACAGTAGTAGCACTATCAGGTGGTTATCGAATGCCCAGATAACCGCCAAAAAAGAGAGACGATCCACATAAAGACAGGTTGCAGGGCGAGGTGTTTCTGCTCCCCCGATTACTCATTGCCGACGGTCTGTTTAATAACTGGTCAGATCCCAAACAGAGATGGAGAGATGAATTTTTCTATGGTAGGTCAAATATTTGGTATTCAATAGACACGCCAAAAAGGTAGGTTGCGCAAACAATACATTATAATCCACCAGTTCACTATTATAATAAGGTAGTGGTTCAATAAAAATGCATTTTATTTATTCTCCAACACACTCAAACAACAACTGATTATCCATGCTAAATCCACTAAACGTAAGGGTTAAATAGAAAAATTCGACTTTGTTTCTAGCCACTGTCAATTTCTTTGTGAGCCAAAAACAAAAATATACCTTTTGCCTTTGCGTTGCCGCACCGCCGACTGTATAAGCATACCCGCTGGTTGATATAACATTCATAAGAAAAAATTTCATGGATTACTCTTAATACCTAAAATTTAGAAGATTATTTTGTTTCTCAAATGTCTGGTAATATTTTATGACTAAATAGGATAATTTATTTGATTAATGCATTAATATGTAAATTGAATCAAGGACTAATTCATTCCCCATTTTCCTCCTTGCTGCCGCTAAATCGGTGCAATCCCAAAGATATTAGAGAGAAGAGTGGAACTATTTGAACTAGGCCCACAGACGCTACGCCGCTGTTCCTATTCTGGTATGAGCACACTGGCGTTTTCATGGAAGGGCTTGGGGGTTCATCGGAGTCTCTCCGCATGTTATACCTTCTGTGAAGTGTAGCTCTCTGGACTAAGCGAGTCCTCCCTGCTCTTCAATTTTCAATCTCCAAGACACACCCCCTCCCGGGATTTTTTCTGAACCTAGATCCTGGGCCTCCCCCCAGATTTTTTTCTGGATAACACCACTGATTGAGCAGTTTCGCAATCTATAGGAAACAATTACCATCGCAAAATCAACCACAACACTGGCACGCCTACAAATCACTTTTAAGAGCAAGTTTCAAATGTCCGTCATCGGACTAAACTAGACAGTCCCAGATAAATAAAATTAACAAATCATAACTGATCATAAATGTTTGTATTAGCAATTGTAAAAGCAAAAATTTGTGTCACGCGCCGTAACGGTGGCAAGTTTATAAATTGGTTTCAACTGCCATCGGTAGCGTTACGGTAACGGTACGCCGTCGGTATGGCGACGTTTACAATAAAGAACGAAAATATCGATTATCTCATCATACTGACAGCTTACCCTTCTCGGTACTGACATTCCGACAGACGACATCTCTACATAGTTTATTATTCTCCATTTGTTGTTCTAGCTCGAAAAAATAGTCTTCTAGAGTCATATTACTTTTGTCAGACGAGTAGAATTTCGAGTTACCAACACATCTTTCAATTTCTGTAAAAAAATGTTTATCATTCGAAAGAAGAGAGGGCCTCAAAGTGTTGTTTTTAAAACACATTTTTTTCAGATATTTTTGGAGCCGATAACAGCCAGATTTCAATGAAACGGCTAAATGAATAAAATCAGAGTCGTCGGGAAAGTTGGCAAAAAAATCTGCTATTGCTTATGTACGGATAGGAATGATTTTTCACCCTTCTCGAACCCTTTAGAGTTTTCGTCAAATAGTCAAATATCAGAACGTCTAGCAAAAGAGGTGTTCCAAATGCCATTCAAATCAGACTTATCAGTTCTTAAAAAATGTGTTTTAAAAGGAGAACTTTAACGCCCTCTATAGGACAAACGAAGCACATTTGCTGAGAGGTAAATCATGTCCACTCGACTTATTTCAAATCCAAAAATACCTGGTACCTCTGTGTCCACGGAATATTGGGACACCCTGAATAACCACCGAATGTTAAAATTGAAGAAGTAAATACTCAATGTTTCTGGTTTTAATATTTGTTTTGTCTTTGTCGTCCATTTAAGTTTCTTCACTGAAACGGATACTGTTAATATTCTTCACCCATTTGTTCTTATATAAACATTATCATCAATGACCGAGCAAAGACATTAAAATGACCATTAACCTTACCCGCCTGCAGTTGGCCTTCATGTCAATGCATAATTATCGCCTTTACCCTTTACAATAAACAACTTTATGTTCTATTTCCGCGTCTATATAGGGTGTTCCAACGAAATGGAAAGTAGTTTTACGAGCAAACTGGAAAAGATATCAAAAATCTGTTGTCGTAGCATCCTTGATATGTTACTAGAGCATATTTTAAAATTATCTCAATAATAACTCCGCGCCATAGCAAACATATAGTTTTTAAATAGAACACCCTATATTTTACTGCATATTTGAATATAACTTCTACAGAGAAGAAGTTTGATATCATAATAACGCATGGTTTCGATTGACAATTGTTTAAATATATGCTCAAGTGTTTGAAAAAATGCCCAGCTTTGACGGCTCGCAGCTCCGCCATTTTTTAAGGTATTTGGATAAATCGTAGTTCAAAAAAATGTTATTATCGTCGATTTTAAACTGATCTGGAACAGCCGCCAAAATAGTTTTCTATTTGAACATGGTATCTCAAATGGAACATCCTGTATGTTTCTACATTGTTAAATGTTTCTTTTTGTGAACTTTTTTATATTAGGTTTATATAACAAACTGCATCTTATATTTGAACATAAAATCAAATCTTTTATCAAAACAATATTTTTTATTAACACAAAAATAATTTGAGCCTTCGGCAATCAGTCGTTAATAAACTCGCTTATAGGATGTTTCGTAACCTCGGGTGTTGTAGGTTTCTCCTGGAAAATATCTCCTTTTACATGGCCCCAGAAAAAGAAGTCCTGAGGCGTCAGATCCGGAAATTTCGCTGGCTAAATGATTGGTCCGCCTTTCCCTATTCAACTGATAGGGCGCCATCGGGATACGGTTCTATATAGGTATATGTATAACATACAGCGGTTCCGTTTGAAATTTTTGAAAAAAGGTACATTTTGCTTTTTGAGATACCCTGTGTAAATAGACAGATATTTTCGCATTTCTGTCAGGTCAGCTCAAAATCAATTATAATAAATTTTCAGTGAACCAAAATTTATCTAAATTATCCGCCCTCACATTTGGTCATATTTTCACAGATTTCACAAACATCCTCTATCCAAATATGCAATAAATTATAGGGTATTCTATTTAAAAAAAATACACGTTTGCTATGACAGGAAGTTATAGAAACACCCTGTATATATTAAAATAATTTTAAATTATGCACTAGTAACATATGGTTGTCAAGAAAACAGATTTTTGATACATTTGCTAGTTTGGTCATAAAACGACTTTCCATTTTCGTTGGGACATCCCGTATAACTGATCATGGAATGTTATCACCAATACTATAATCACAGCTTAGATAACAATCAGGTATTAAACTCTCCTGTCAGTGTCAAAAACGGCCGCCATTTCCTCGGAGAAAGTCTAATGTAAATTCCCCCAGTACAACAATGAAAGAGGTTTTAGTGTTCAGCAGCAGCTGGAGTGGCCCCAGGTCATCCCAGCGGCTGCAGATATTCTTTATCTTAAAATAATATTTCGATATGGTATAGTGTACCGGCTGCTGCTGAGCACTAAAAACGGCTTTCTCCGCCGAAATGGCAGCCGGTTTTGACACTGACAGGAGAGTTTCATAGCTGATTGTTATTTAAGCTGTGCTATAATCTGGAGCTTCACATGAAGTGTGATTGTGATAGGCAACACTGACTTAGTGCTGTCTGCCCAGAAATGTAAGACTTGATAAAGTGCTATGGTGCTGAAGTGGTGAATATTAGTGATCATATACTCTATGTGATAATGGAATTTTATCTCATCTAGCTGATACCTCTTTTCATGTCCAGTTGACGACCGGAACTCCAGCTAACATCAGTTTCACTCTTATTCCGTTTGTGAACAGTTTTCTTGGGAGACCGCTGTTCTCTTTGGGATAACATTCTCTGTTCTCTTTCTTGTTCATGGAGTTTCATTTTGGTTCTAGCCTGTTTGTACAGCCTGAGATGAGTTGCAGCGTCATCCACGAGACGCTGGGTAAGATATGGAATCCAATCCACTTCTTTGACCCTAGATAAAATAGATAAAACTGAATACATGAATGGCCACCATCTGAGCAACAGGTCTTTGTATGAGTACCTTTGGAAAATATACTACTGGTGCTGGGTTAGACTATTCTGCTCCTTACACGCTGAATTGCTCCTTATATCATTTGGACATACAGAAGTAATAGCCAAAAGGACAGATGATAAGAAGTGACTCAGGTGCAAGTATTTGAAAAGTTTTCTGCAACAAAATGTTTGTTGGAGTTCCGCAAATTACACTTCCATGCTTGATATCTTTCTTTCTATTTGCATTTCATTTGTATATAGGGTTCCAAGACAATTTGACAATTCATATGGATATAGAAAACTACTAAGATTACTTTTTTGAAACATCCAAGCAAACATTGCGCAAGATGCTTTTTTAAGTAATAATTTAGTCGTTTGCAATACTTGAAACCAACACTTGACATAGTATATTGCATATAGCCAAAAATAGTTTTATATAATATGTAGAAGGATATGTACCTAGTACATGGAAAATTGAACGAATTTTCTCAAAATCGTTTCTAATTTTTTCTGAATTTATTTGAGATAAGATTTCAAAGTAAACTCCACATTTCCATTGCCACTTTTTGATTACAATGTGGCATGAATAGAACATGATTTTTTATTTCCTATCTCCCATCTCAACTTTGATTTTTCTCATGTATGCCATGTTTGCTTGGGAGAATAGCTTTTAATTCTGACTTCAAATATTATAGCATATAATGCATTTTTATAAAAAAAAAATGTTTTCTGAGTAAGCCTTGAAATTATCATATAGTCATTTATCACATAGGGTATCAAAGATGATAACATGTTATGCATTGATTTAAAATTTTCAGTGCCTCATCTAGCTGGTTTAAACTCATTGAATGAGGAACAGCATAACAAATCTCATTTAAGAGTAACAATGAAGGCATCAAAAATGTTACAATTTTAATAAGCTGACATCTGAAACGACTTGTTGATATTCTAATTATGCCACCATGAAGAAGAGGAAAAGTGGTAATGTTATTGTGTAATTTGTTTGAACTTTATTGACAGTGTAAAAACGACCTAGCATAAATTCGGAAATACTTTGAATTTCCAAACTGTCCAAGTTCCATTTTTTATTTACCTAAGCAACTTGCCCCCATAAAGTACTCTGCATGGTTTAGGTGAATGTCACAAAATCAGTATTGACTGTGATCTGTCAATATCTTAATCATGAGATGTGATATATATTGACTGTGTAGCCTGGACATCAGTAATTATTGATGTTACGCAGAAATCTTCTACGAACCACAGTAAATACTGATTGCATGACGTTCGTTTTACCGTTTCCACAAAATGAGGTTTATATCTAACATAGACTTCAACTAATACTAGTGATTTCTCATCTAATAGATGTTGATTCAAAGCAAAGCCTTAATGAATAATTTAAGCTTTGTCTGTGAGTAATCCCTGTAGTTTCATTGTAACCTGCCATAAACCATGGAACAACATATACTTGCATATAGGTACCTATTAGAAATGTTGATTGCAAATGTCTGTGCAGTTTTTCTAACAGCAGCCTCAGTAAATTCTGTATCCTTAGTGATGTACCGATACCATGAAGCAACATAATCTCTGATGATGTAGCCTAAAATCTCTTGAAGTGAGCTATCTATCAGTTCACTCCCTGTGACCCTACTATCACATTTTTGTTTTGTTTTTGGGCTTTCTAGTTGTCTGACTACTTGCTTGAGACCTCCTTCATTCAATAAACTTGATGTTAACGGATTTCCAGCACATTTTGAATAGAATTTTCCTATATCACCTTGTTGTATGTACAGAAAGCTGGCACATCTGTAAGAACAAGGTTCATACTATTATGCTTCTAGATGTAATTAGAAAAAATATACTTACCCAATAACAAATAAAGTAATACTAATTACGGCTGCAGTAAGCCATAATACTCCAAAACTTGAGATAAATAAAACTGATATTAGGCCTATCCATCCAGCTGTATTTGTTTCCATTTTTTGAAAGGCTAAAGTAGGTATTGAAAGGACACAGTCCTTGTTTACCACTCACGTTCCTTCGGTAATGATGAATTATGTTATCTAAATAGTCTCAGGCGTTCAAACAACAATGGAATTATTTATAAACAGCTTCTTATTAAAAGTTTATTATTTACGTTTTTAAACTTTTGGTTTTTAGGTTATGCGAAATTGTCAGTCTGTGACAAGACTTGTCGACTTTTGTTCAGTGGCGTATCTATGGAGGTTTTGATAAAAACGCCGAAAAAACTACAGGTCAGAAAAGGTAAATAGAACAACTATTTAGTGGTTTCATCCGCCACCAGCGTTACTTTTCAATTGCATGTATGTATTGCATGATGGCGGTAGTTCAGAAAAGGATCCTTGGTGACAGATAAGGGTATTATGTAAAAAACCTAAAAATCGTAAAAAACGACGAAATGTCATCTTGCAGGCTAGGTAGTTTCTTCTAATGTGTAAATTGTCCATTCCACGTTTGCTTACTATGATCGCTGTTCGCTGACGTTTAACCCCTTATTGCATCCTGAGTCATATATGATACATACCAATATTAATATTTTTTTGAAGCTCTAGAATTTAAAGAGCGAATAACTGCATAGTGTCGCATATTTGGGACCGAGGAATAACCACGTTAAAATAATGCCGACGCTCCTCCGACAAAAAATATGACCTTGGAGCGGTTTGCAAGTTTACACTCGCACTTTTCGTGGTACAGTCGACATCTCCGATTTTATGAAGCATTTTTGTTGGGTGAAACGTAGGTTTTGGTGATAGAAAAAAATAGCTGTCCTCAGATTATTTGTTACTTGTGCGTTTCAAGGTAAGTTTAGGCAATAATTTCAATTTTTGCAGAGGTTACATACAAAAATTGTTTTGATTCATATATGGGACATCATGCGATTATAACGAGTGATAAGAGTCATCTTGATTCCAGATGGATCCAAAAATATGTTATGGAAGCAGTAAATATGTTACGAATGTACCGGAAAACAATGAAAGTGATGATCCCGATTTGTCAGACGATGAAGACACAAATAATCCAATAATTAATGATAATATATTAGCATTTGACAGCGACGACAACAGTGAGCCTGAAGGAGATTATGATGAGACAGTCATTTCTGAAACAGATGTAGAATCTGACGATAGTGAAAATATGACTCTACACGAAATTGCAGAGAAGATGAATCCAAGCGCCTGGAGAACTGGAAATCTCGTGAAAGATCCAAAGGATCTAGAATTTACAGGCAATATGAATATGCCTCCAGAAGTTACTGACTTAGAAACGCCATTACAATTCTTCAAGTTCTTCTTGACTAAGGGCCGGTTTATCAATGCATGGTTAAATAAATCAACTAGTAGTTAAAAATAATCTGACGGTCAAAATGTTTATCCACCGGCAGTTAAATATTAACCAACAGTTAAACCCGTGTGAAACCTGACCGCAACTTGGATGTTCCAGTTACGAGCGATAACTAGCAGTTAGGATCTGAAGCATGCGCAGATTGCAGACTTCTTCTTGTTTTGATATGTCATTCTTGTCATTTTAACCTCAAAAAGTCTGTGTCAAAACGTAAGCAAAAACAAGGTTTTTGTAAAGAATTATTGTTTGAAAATCAAGTGAAAACTTTGAAATATGTTGGGTGATATTGATGCTATGTTCGATGATGATGATGATGCGGAAATAGTAGAGTTTTTAGAATATGAAAGGAGGCCCTATATTGTACGAGAAAGAGAAGACTTCTTCCATTCATTGGACGACATAGATTTTTTTGTGAGGTTCCGCTTGAAAAAAATTACGGTTTTATATATTTTATCTCTCATCGAGGAAGAACTCGAATCTGTTACCGACAGGTAGGTTATTTCACGTTTTTAGAACGCTGCTGATGTTAATACCTATAGGTACTTTTTATTTTCTGCGAATATTTTTTCTGTAATATTTAAACAATATGGAAATAGATATGTGGATTTCATTGAATTTTATTTAACTTATCATGAACAATTCTATGACAAATGACTCCCTGTGGTAACTATTAATTGTATATTTATTTCAGAAATCATTCTATTTCACCCATCAATCAGTTATTACTGACTCTACGCTTCTATGCTACGGGAAACTTCCTACTAACTGTTGGTGATTTCATCAAAGTTAGTAAGAGCTCTGCCTCAAAAATAGTGAAGAAGGTGTCTGAGGCAATAGCTACCTTCTCAGGTAGATTTATAAAAATGCCAAGTAATGATGAGGAAATAAGGAAAGCCAAAAGTAGCTTTTATGAGAAAGCACATGTGCCTAGAGTGATTGGATCCCTTGACTGCACACACATAAAAATTCAGTCACCTGGTATGGTATCTATTTGTATCTATAGAACTTGTACTTATAAAACTTTACCCTTACAGGAGGAAATAATGCAGAACTATTTCGCAATCGAAAAGGCTATTTCTCCATCAATGTACAAACCATTTCAGCCCCCAATCTAAAAATATTAGACATTACTGCACGCTGGCCTGGAAGTCAACATGACCAGATAATTTTTGATAATTCATCAATAAAAAGTAGATTGGAAAGAAATGAATTTGGCAATAGCCTTTTAGTAGCAGACAGTGGTTATGCAAATTCAATGCATGTAATAACACCACTTTTGGAAGCAAGAACACAAGTCCAACAACTTTATAATGAAGCTGGTATGTTTCTATCTCTTATAATCATTACATTATATGGAGCTGTTTTTTATTTTACTCATAAAATAATTTAATTCACTAAAAGCATGAACCATATTTTTTCATTGTACAGATACTACACTGCATTATTTTTTCTATACAAGGAGAATTAAAGTTAATGAGTTTGTTTTTCATTTATTTTTTCAGTTACAAGAACCAGAAATCCTGTGGAAAGGCAATACGGTTTGTGGAAACGACGATTTCCAGTTCTCTCAACAGGGTTGAGACTAAAATTACAGACAACCCTTACAGTGATCGTTGCCACAGCTGTGCTGCATAATATAGCAATTGACCAAAATGAAGAGCAGCCCCCTGATATTCCAAACTTGGATGAAAACATAATCAATTATGAAGAAGATATCAGTGTTGATCCTCCTGAAAATAACTTCATGAATGCCAGGGAACTGTTATTAAGTGAATATTTTCCAGGGCTTTTAAATTAATTCTTTACTTGTACTATTTATGAATTAAATACAAATAAAAAATAGCAATCTTTAATTTCAAAATTATGTGTTATATTTATATATATTACACATATTTTATAATTTATCATTTGTTCTAATCTGCAGTTCCATTTTCAAAATGTCTTGCTTCAGTTTCAGGTTTTCCATTTTTATTTTATGCTCTGCAGCATTTTGCTTTTTTATTTCTTCTGCAATCGACATTTGCAAATTCACCAGCTCTAACTTCTTCATAGCCAGTTCTTCAAATTTCGAAGAAGCAGAAGACATGCTTTTCTTTTTCTTAATTACTGGTCTTCGCCGACATGACCATGGCTCTAAAATAAAATTTTTGTATAGTAACATAAATATGAGATATCTATATACCTATATTTATAAGAAATATTTCACAGATACTTTTAGAGCTGGGAGTCTCTGCTACACTGATACTGTCAGTATTATGGTCGGTTACTTCCATATCTTCTCCACTTACGTCCACCTGTAGCACATTCGGCCTTGATACTTTCAAAGCTGGATGAATGTGTGTTTGAAGGTAGGAAGTACTGGGTGTGTTCCACTCAATATCTTCATGCGTTTCTACTATCACACTGCTGTTTTCAATCTCCTCAATTTCAACTCCTCTTACACCTGTAATCAAAATCAAATTAAGCATGATCCAAAGGTAAAAATAAAAAAACAGAACTTTCCTGCTATGGCATCTGAATCATATTGAGACTGAAGACCCTCAACAGAAACTATGATAGTTTGTAATAGTTCCTTCTCTTCTTCAGTCTCAGGTTTGGGTTCTTCTTTTGAAGCACCACCACCTGTTCCAAGCATATAGCACTTATGGCTGCTATATTTTTTTTTCAGCTCCTTCTTAATGGCCTCATACTTTGTTTTTAGCTGTTTTGCTGTTCGTGGCTAAAAATTTATTCATATATGAACAATTACGGAACAAAAACTAATATTGCATTCATACTCTTTTCACTACAGTTTATATCTTATTTAACAGAGTTGGGAAATGTTGCCAAAACTGTATATTGGAAATCAATTAATTTATCACATACTATAGCAATTGAAAAGTATATGTATATACTCACCACTCCAGTTGTAAATGAGTTGAATTCTCTTTCAATTTTTATCCACGCTTCTTCCTTCTGTCTCCAAGTAACTCCATCCGTTTTTTTATTTTCTATCACTGCCTTAAATTTGTTGGACAGTTTCAACAAGTTTTTGCGGTCGCTGAGGCTGAAGTTCGCTCCTCTTTTTTGTTTTCCCTTTCCACTGTTTTCTTCGCTTTCCATTTTTCCAAACAATCCGTACTAATTTCGTAAAACAATGCCACACGAATAAAGAAAACTTCAAGATACGTGATAGCAAAGACGTCATTGCGTGATAGTGATACACTTTCACACAAATATATCGAATAGGTTAAAGTTTTGACATTTGCGTCATTTGTCATTGTCTGACATTTTTTGTGGGAAATTTAAATTCAACGAATAAAAATTCATTTCCGCTCAGTTCAGTTCTACCAACCTTGTAGAAACGAAGGCAAACCAAAAGTTATAAAACTGACAGCTATTGATTGATTGATAAACACGCTTCATAACATAACTGCCAGTTTAGCCTAACTTGAGGTTACTTAACAGGCACTTTTAACTGTGCTTTGATAAACCGGCCCTAAGGAAATCATATCAGCAATAACTATCGAATCAAATTTATATTGCTCACAAAAGCGTATAAACCGTCCTTTGAACCTCACAGATGATGAATTAGAGCGGTTTATTGGCATATGTTTATATATGTCTATTATACAACTACCCCAAGCTAGAAACTATTGGTCGCCACATTTAGGTCATCATAAGGTATCAGCAGTTATGACATGTAACAGGTGGGAAGAAATCAAAAGATTTATTCATTTCAACAATAACGATAATTTCATACCTCGTGGTACACCTGGACATGATAAATTATTCAAAATAAGACCTTTTCTAGACAGTTTACAAGAAAGACTAAATAAAATTCCAGTTGAAGAAAACGTTGCGGTAGACGAACAAATTATTCCAACTAAAGCCAGATCAACAATAAAACAATACAATCCGAAAAAGCCACACAAGTGGGGCTATAAAGTATTTGTTTTGAGTGGAATCTCCGGCTTTAGTTACAGCTTCGACATTTTTGCTGGATCTCAGAGCAACGTAGTTCCTGTTGATGTTCCTGATTTAGGAACAAGCAGTAATGTGGTGCTAAAACTTGCCCAAAGAGTCCCTAAGCATATGAACCATAAAATATTTTTCGATAATTGGTTCAACAGTGTCCCACTTGTGGTTTACTTGAGCAAAAATGGCATTCTTCCTCTTGGTACTGCGCGCTTGAATCGAATTCCAGGTTGTAAAATGCTATCGGAAAAGGAATTCAAGAAACTTGGAAGAGGATCTTGGCAAGAAAAAACTGCTATCAAAGATGATGTGAAATTAAGTAATGTTTGCTGGTATGACAACAAAATTGTCACAACTCTGTCATCTTATGTCGGCTCGCAACCAATTGGAAGTAAGCAAAGGTTTTTTAGAAGCGAGAAATGCTACAAAGATGTGCAATGTCCGCAAACAATCCTAAAATATAATGAATACATGGGAGGCGTAGACCTATTGGATTCTATGCTTGGTTATTATCGCATCAAAATTAGATCCAAGAAATGGTATCTCCGCATTTTCTTTCATTTTATAGATATGTGCGTTGTGAATAGTTGGCTTTTATGGAGGACGCAGAACGAGTTTTATATGCCACTTGCAGATTTTAAGGTAGCTATTGCGGATGCTTTATGTATCAGTGGAAAATCTGTATTGAGTAGAAAACGTGGACGACCTAGCGCCAATCTTGAACATGCTTATTTGGAAAAGACTAAACGTGGACCTGCGGCTGAAATTCCTCAAATTGAAGTAAGAAAGGACGGAATAGATCATTTGCCGGAATGGAGAGAAAATGAAAGAAATCGATGCAAACATCCAGACTGCAAATACCAATCATATATTTATTGTGTAAATGTCAACTACCGCTCTGCCTAAATAAAGATAGAAATTGTTACCTAAGATTTCACACCGAGTAACTACATAAGACTGGTTGTTAGTGCATAGAGTCCCATATATGATACATACCCCTTTTTTGTAAATTTTTCAATAAAAACTTAATAAATATTTTTTTAATTATTTTTCATCTAACTTGTGCAGACTGATCTACCTCATATATTTTTTCCATTGAAAATAAAAAAATCATGCAATAAGGGGTTAAGCAACACGTACAGCTACAAAATAGTTTACAGCAAGTGTTGTACAACAGCTTGTGCTAGGTTAGCACCTTGTAGAAACAAACTACGTTATTTCACAAAAAACCTACAAAATGTCAAAAAAGTCCGACAAAATGTCACTTTTGAAAATACGTAATACCAGTGCGGAAGTAATGAGTAACAATCCGAGCACAAATGATTACTTCGATTACTAAGTTTTCCGCACCAGTATGTGTAGACAGAGCTCTTCATAGAGTTTTTATAGATGTACATGCTTAATTGAAGTGCCCATAGCTTCATAGAGTTTTTATAGATGTACATGCTTAATTGAAGTGCCCATAGCTTCGAAGAGTTGCCATTACGAATTTCCTCAAGCCCATATACAGATCCACTTTCTAACTAAAAGACATGTTTTTGGAGCATTTCTAGTAAATATAAAGTATTTTCAGTTCTTAGTCACATATGAGCCTATCCTATAATAACCGTTCTCATTTTACATAAAATTTGATGATACCATGTTTGGATTAAGCACCGCAGATTTGAATAAATTAAGGATATTTATCTTCTTACAAACTAAAGCATAATATAGTCGTTCCATTGAAGTTATTTAAATTCGACATTAATTACACGACGCACATTGCCAAATCGATATAGTCGTACTACTCATAGTAATCAAAGTATGTAATGAGTAAAATAATGTAGAAATGTAACCCAGATATGCCCAAAATTATCATGACTCTGACTTCTTCATAATTGTGCATTTAAGGGGCATTAATAGTATACAAGAACCCAACTAAAACTTCTGTAACTGATTTTTTTTGTCAAAAAAGTTGTTTTTGAAGGCGTCCTATATATAGGACAATGGGCACTTACTATGCTGCATTAAAATCATTTGGGCTTAGTATGATACATCAAAAACACTTAATATGCAGCGCCTTGTCACATTTTTTACTGCGAGTCGTGTTTTCTGATGACAAGCTGCACATCTTGTTTGTTTTTCTTGCGGTAGTACCCAGTGGTCCAGACGGTCATACCATAACTCCAAATTTTGGAATTGAGATGTGTGTCTCATCTGATACACACATTCTTTTTTATTTTTAACCAGCATAAAATTTGCAATGACTCTTCTAAAAGTTAATTGGTCCGTGTTGGCGAAACGTCAAGTAAAAATATTTTACGACGGCCTAAAACTACCCAAAAACCAACCAAATATGATAAGGATTGTCAAAAGCTAACACTCTAAATGCTCTTTCACATAGTTATAACGTTTCTCCTTCTTTGCCTGCTTGCATGTTCCTTTGATTGCTTCTGTCAATTGACTCAAGGGTATATCGTCTTCTGAGTCCGTATCACATTTTTACTCTGCATTTGAGTGGCGAATAAACATTTATTTATTAATTTATTTTTTCGTTGATTGTCCTACCTTTTATTTCGAAAAAGGTGCTGCGTCTCAAGAAAAAATTTCGGAACTGAAAATATGTGAACTCAATTTTGTTGAGTATATAAAGTGGTGCAAAGTACTTCGAAATTTTTCTTTTCATAAAAATCTCGAATAGGAAAAACATTTGCATAGCGTAAACTAATTGTGAAAAGGCATATATGGTTACTCCAACTATTCAAGAAATCTTAATGCAAGATACTATTGCTTATAACGGACATATTATACGTAATGCTACATTTTAATTTTGAATTCGGAGTTTATAATTCATATGCCCTTAAGTGTTGTAAAGTGTTATTCATCCAATAGCGGACTTCGACGAGTTAGGGAGGATATGCCGTGTCAAATCGATATTCCCACCAAGTTTGTGCTTCTAAAATCAAATCCATTAGCTCACCTTAACTTTATCTAGTTTTCGATGTTGTCCTGAGATGGTGCTGACGCTGTCACGGAAAATTTGTGGGGCATTCAAATGTATAAATCGTCAGAGATAAAGTATGTGAGGGTAACATTTCGGAGCTTAGATAGAAAAGATGGCAAAAATTTGGGCTACAATTAAGGCAATCCTAACACGATTAGTTTTTGCCACACACGGATTCGTCGGTATCTGGCAAGTAACTATTTTCAAAAATAATCCGTTTTATTGGTATTTGAGTTCGCCGATCATACTATTGTTTTTTGAAGGAATTTTCACGCTGACCATCAAGGAGAACCAGGAATGGAAATGGTAAGAAATTTACCTTAGCCTTTACCTTATGATTGTTCTAATTTAGCTACTTTTTAAATTTTGAATAAATCGAGACATAACTATACCTATATATGACAAAAGGTTTGACTTTACTTTCTCCTAAAATCTTGCAGAAAGATGATCACGGCGTTCGCTGCTGATGCTACTAACAGAATTGCTTTTGTTTCGGAAATTATTATTGAATATTCTAACCCATTACCGAATCAGATTGAGTCAAAACTATACGGGGTGTTTGCAAAACATGGGTCAAACATTCAAGAGGTGATTCTTTGAAATCAGTATTAAGACTATTTTGATCGTGTATGATTTTCGAGAAACTGCTACCTATCGATCAAAAACTTTCAAAAGTAACACTTATCAGTAATAATAGCAAGTTAAACTTCTTAGTATACAAAAACTATTCAAAATGGCTAACTATGGATGGATGGTCTTATTAGGTGATAATGGGCAGGGAGGCCGTGGTCCCCTTTGGGATTTTTAGAATTTAGCCTCCCCCTCCCCCTGAAAAAATTTACTACACCCCGCTCTTCGAAATATTTTAGGGGCAGCTAAACTTTCACAAAAACTTATTTCTGGCCGATGATTGCCCCCTCCTCTTCTGAGAAAAATTCCTAAGGGCGCACATGGGTCCTCCAATACAAGAATTCCGAATGGAACTTGTAGATGTAACTCAGGAAGAAATGGATCTCTTGTATTTGAAAGAGATGGGCAGTCTGTGACGAGAAGATTGGAACCTTACATCCTAGCTAGAGATAGTTATTTTAAACAATAATTTTTGGTAACAGAAAATTTTTATTTTTTAAAATTCCATTTTGTATATTTAAAACGAGGCAATTTTTCGGAAATCCCCAAAGAACAAAATAGCCTTAAAATAATCCAAAGAACCAAAGAACCTCCCCTTGAATTTGTACCTAATGTTTTGGAAACACCTCACATAACCACATACAAGCTAAAAATAAAGCGAATTTGTTGTTTTTATGTAGCAGATATTTAAGCTCACTTCTTCAATAAATGTTACTGTGAACGTTTTACAGAAAAAACGACACTTCCTTGAATTCCTGAAGAAATTTCTGAAGTTTTTAATTTTTTTTATTGCCTTTTGTGTAATTTGAATGCAAAATTTGACTTAATAAAAAATGTCGTCAAGCTACGTTCATTTGTAAAGCTTATGTTCGGCACAAGTTAGCCCTTCCTTCGCTTATCTATTTTGTTTGATCAAATAACTTCCGTCATTTATACATTAGAAGCAACAATTTCCTCGTTAATTTTCGTGGGAGGTATCAACAAGAATTGCTATAATGGCTGTGCAAGGCAAAAATGCATTTTTAAATCCATTCTCATTTCAAATTAATTTGGCATTTTTCATAATCATTTTATTAATCTGGCATTTCTAATGTGGTCTATATAACGGAAGTATTTTTATCTATATGACCTACATGAGTCTACTATTTGTTTCTCATCCACAGTTATTTGCATTTTACAATTCCCAGCTTATCTGTAACTGTATGAACGAGTGTTCTCTGATGAGTAATATACTTACACCTGATATTTAAAACGCCTGAAAAAATGCAGATAAAGTATTTTGGTGCCACAATTGTAAAATCTAGTTTGCTAAAGTATATCTCAGTCAAACACACACACACACACACACACAAATGTAGTGATAATGTAAAAGAAAAAAAGTAACTAAATGGGAAAACACAGGCTTTGTCGTGCCATTTTCATACGGTCTCTTTTTACATTTCATTCCGTTATAGCAATATGGTTAGTAACAAAAGTGAAAAATGATCAGTGGTTTTGGTATCTCACATTACCAATATTTTTCCTCGTATTTGAAAGTATCACAACGTTTAGCATCAGGCAGAAACTTGAGTGGAGATGGTAAGTTCATAACTGTACATTTAAAAATTATACATGATACTATAGTTCAGCGATTGTCTCAGTAATCAAAACTTAAAAATGGAGTCTAATGCATTTTCAAATTATCCAAACATTTGTTAATAGGTGAGCAAGAAAAACATAATGACGTGAACGTATTGCTTTAAGTGCGGCTTCAGAAAAACGTAACGTGAAATAAATGCCAGAGTGTTTTGAAGATTTGAACATGATTAAACACTTTTCAAAATCTTTACCATGTCAGAGGCAAAACTACAAATGAAAATTTCCTCCAAAGGTATCCAAATCTAAAACACCATCAATAAAGGAATGCTTCGCTAACTCAAAAACCTACCATACATATATGTGTGGATTGAGTTCTTGAGTTAGCGAAGTTATGATATCGTACTCTAAGAATATCTGAAATTGGAAAAATCGGTGAAAATGCTGGTTTTTCCAGTTACTTCAAATTTTCTGATAAGACATCCTTATTTTGACATATATATATAGTAGGAAAACAATGGGCAAAATCAGCAAAAAGGAGGAAAGTGGATTCGAGCAGAAAATAGGATAGGTAACCCAAGCGATACGTATTTCTGCTGGTTGGCTTCATCAGGACCGAAATGAATGCACATATTATGCAATTACAAAAGTATATACACATGCCCACGCATCCGGATACTGGTGTAACCTGAGGAAACGAAGATGGAGAGGAAAAAATCGACACACGAAGTCCCCAACAAGAGACAACCTACACATTGTAGTATAAAATGGCCGGAAGATCTTGAATTTTCAAGGCGACATCTAACCACAACCACGCGGCCGGTTATAGCCACTTGCTGTGGTACTTTAAGAACAAAGGATCTACAAAGAGAAAATGATGATGCAGAGAAAGGTATATAAAAAAAAGTAGGAAAATAATGGGCAAAATCCGCAAAAAGGAGGAAAGTGGATTCGAGCAGAAAATAGGATAGGTACCCGTTGTTGGTAGGTTGGCTCTTGTTGGGGACTTTGTGTGTCAATTTTTTCCCTCTCCATCTTCGTTTCCTCAGGTTACACCCGTATCCGGATGTGTGGGCTTGTGTATCTACTTTTGTAGTTGCATATGTGCATTCATTTTGGTCCTGATGAAGCCAACCAGCAGAAATACGTATCGCTCGGGTTACCTATCCTATTTTCTGCTCGAATCCACTATCCTCCTTTTTGCGGATTTTGCCCATTATTTTACTACTTTTTGTTATATACCTTTCTCCGCATGATCATTTTCTTTTTGTAGATCCTTTGGGCTTGAAGTACCACAGCAAGTGGCTATAACTGGCCGCGTCGTTGTGGTTAGATGCCTCCTTGAAAATTCGAGGTCTTCTAGCCATTTCATACTACAACGTGTAGGTTGGCTCTTGTTGTGGACTTCGTGTGTTATTTTTTCCCCTCTTCATCTTCGTTTCCTCAGGTTACACCCGTATCCGGATGTGTGGGCATGTGTAACTACTTTTGTAGTTGCATATGTGCATTCATTTCGGGCCTGATGAAGCCAACCAGCAGAAATACGTATCGCTCGGGTTACCTATCCTATTTTCTGCTCGATCCACTTTTCTCCTTTTTGCGGATTTTGCCCATTATTTTCCTACTTTTTGTTATACTCATATATATATATATATATATATATATATATATATATATATGAGAAGTAGTCATTGCCAAAGCCAACGACAAGTTGGGTACAATATACAATTACTTGTTAGTTGGGAAATTGGCAAAACTTTTAGGCTAAAGTTGACTCTTTTGACGATAAAATCAAGCTTTCATACTACAACGTGTAGGTTGGCTCTTGTTGTGGACTTCGTGTGTTATTTTTTCCCCTCTTCATCTTCGTTTCCTCAGGTTACACCCGTATCCGGATGTGTGGGCATGTGTAACTACTTTTGTAGTTGCATATGTGCATTCATTTCGGGCCTGATGAAGCCAACCAGCAGAAATACGTATCGCTCGGGTTACCTATCCTATTTTCTGCTCGAATCCACTTTTCTCCTTTTTGCGGATTTTGCCCATTATTTTCCTACTTTTTGTTATATTCATATATATATATATATATATATATGAGAAGTAGTCATTGCCAAAGCCAACGACAAGTTGGGTATAATATACAATTACTTGTTAGTTGGGAAATTGGCAAAACTTTTAGGCTTAAGTTGACTCTTTTGACGATAAAATCAAGCTTTCGGCATTCTCTATGGAGCCATCATCAGGATTTCGTCGGTGAGGTATATATATATATATATACAGGGTGACTTTGAAGTTGAGTCATTAATTTTCAGATAATGATTGTAGAAGGAAGATAAACCAAAATATGTGTGTAAAAATAAAAAAAAATTAAAAAATGTTTTACCTTGTTTTATAAAGTATCCTCCCGACAAGTATTTCAGTGCGGACCTGTATTTGATCGTGAGGTCCCCTGTGAGGTCTTAAGTCACCTGATTCACGAGCCCGTTGTACTACATTAACAAAGGCACGAGGGGTTGGTTGCACTCGATTGGGAAACCGATCCGCATAAACATGTGCCATTTTTTATTTCGTTTGAGCCACGCAACAGACACTATTTACACGCGTTACCGACTGACACTAACTGTATGTATAACTGAACTGAATAAAATAATTGTAAAAACATCGTTCCAAATTCTTTCGCTTTTTTGTTTCCGATGCGATGAACCGATAAGGCGGATTATATCCGTTGTTCCCAGCACGATTACATGATATTATTATTGAGACAGGGCGGTACTCAAACTTCCAAAGGGCTATAACTTTGTTACTTTAATTTTACCAGAAAAATGGTAAAGGAAAAAAACATTTCTTTTGATCAGATCTACTCACTGTTAAAATAAATGACTCAACTTCGAAGTCACCCTGTATATACAGGGTTATCCAAATTAAGTGTCCACCATTGGTAACTTTGTTATTAGTAAAAATACAAAGTTGTTTAAATTAGCAAACTAGTAGCATTTTTAACGCTGGTAAAAATGAGAAATAAAAAAAAACAATTGAGAGTCGTTATTTTGATTTTTTTCAGTAAAATAACATTTTTTTAAATGGAAACCCCTGTATATTATATTTTTTTCTGTTAAAGCATCAAATTTTAAACAAAAAAGTTCATAATGACTTTTCCGCTAAAGTCAAAAATAAAGTCAAAATAACGATAAATATTTTTAATTATTTGCAGTATTATAATATTAAGACGGCTATGAAAACAACATGGCGTTCGCGATTTGACAGCATTAAGATAAGCGACAAATTGTTAAACTGGACATACTCGCAACTAGAAGGCTTTGGAAAACAATGATAAAATCAAATAATGTCAAACATTAGTGTAAATACTTGTTTATAAGCTTTATTGTGTCATTAATTTAAAGAAAAATGTTCTCCCATGAAGAAAAGTGTGATATGTTAGAATGCTATTTAGTGTGCAGAAAATCCTCCTTGAGAGCAAGAGAATACTACAGTGAATTATATCCCGCTCGCATTCAACCGTATGAACGATATTTTCTGAGACTTTATCGAAAATTTAGGGGCAACGAAAATGTTTTTGCTAAAACAAGGGCAAAAAAGAATTCATAATAAGCGAGGCCACGGAAATTGCAGTTATTGGATATTTTGAAGCTTATCGTGAGAATTCAATAGCAGATATTCTCAAGGACTCTAATTTCAGTTATGGTACTGTTCAAAGGATTTTAAAAAAATACAAATTTATTCCGTATAAGTACCGACCAGTTCAAACGCTTTTGGCAGGGGATCCGGAGAGAAGACTTGTTTTTTGCCATTGGTATCTTAGCTTCTGTCGCCAAAATGTAAATAACTTTCGTTACCTTTTATGGACAGATGAATCAAATTTTTCAAATTCTGGAATGTTTAATAGAAAAAAACCACCATTATTGGTCAAGAGAAAATCTTTTGTTAGTACATCCAAGAGGCCCACAAGTCCGTTTCAGTTTCAACGTTTGGTGCGGTATAATTGGTTCAAAAATTGTTGGCCCGTTTTTTTATGAGGGAACCCTAACTGGTGAAAGATATGTGGAATTTATGTCAGAAATTCTGACTAATTTCTTAGACGAATTGGATCTTATAAGTAGACATCATCTGCATTTTCAGCAAGATGGCGCACCTGCCCACAACTCCAGAGGTACTTATCATTTTCTAAGTACTACTTTTAATGATCAGTGGATAGGAACAAATGGCCCAATACAGTGGCCTCCCAGATCACCAGATCTAAACCCACTTGATTACTTCTTGTGGGGTTACTTAAAGAACCAAATTTACAAGCGAAGGTACGATAACCTTGACGCGTTAAAGACTGCAGTTAGGGAAAAGATAACCCAGATAGATGGTAGGACCATACTTAAGACAGTTCGAGCAGTTGAAAAACGTGCCCAAAAATGTATTGAAGAACAAGGTGGTGTTTTCGAGCATCTTCTTTAAAAAAAATTGTTATTGTATTTTGTAAGATTATAAGTTGATGTTGAAAATAAAGTTTGTCGATACAATTTAATTGTTTCAGATTGGAGGCCATAACTTCAACAATTTGTAACCTAGGAGAAAAGTTATTGTAAGCTTTTTTGTTTAAAATTTGATGCTTTAACAGAAAAAAATATAATATACAGGGGTTTCCATTTAAAAAAATGTTATTTTACTGAAAAAAATCAAAATAACGACTCTCAATTGTTTTTTTTATTTCTCATTTTTACCAGCGTTAAAAATGCTACTAGTTTGCTAATTCAAACAACTTTGTATTTTCACTAATAACAAAGTTACTAATGGTGGACACTTAATTTGGATAACCCTGTATATACATATATAACTGTGTTTGCCAAGTATTGCTTTCCTGACAAAAAACGTGAGACTAAAGAGAATCAGCGAATTAGCCTGCTTGTGATATCCTACGTTTAAAATACGACTTTTTCCGATTTTTGGTGATTTTCCAGATAAGAAATCAGAACTGAAAACAACGTAAAAAAGTACAAATAAACAGTATGTTACTGTTTTAGCCAAATTGAGAAAACGTCAAAAATTGAAGAAAACCAGCAAGTATGCTGTTTCGCCCATGTTCGGAAGACAAATCAAAATTTTGACTAAGGAACCTGAAAGAATGGATAAAAATACACGACATTGCCGAGTTTTTAAGTTAGCCAACCGATCACATGCTACGTTTTAATTGTCAAAAATTATAGACAATCAGTGAAATTGTGATTTTCCGATTTTTATAGATTATCCAGGTAGAAATTAATGATTTTTGTTTATGGATGAAGGAACGCAAGAAAGCGCTGATATGCTCTCACAGTGAATTTTCAAGGTTGAGAAATTTTTAATACCTAACAAAAAATTCGAAAAAATGTTTGAATCATTTTATACGTTCCACAAATGTATAGAAAATCATATAACAATGCAACATCTGTAATTTTTTCAAAATTATTTGAGCAAAATTGAGGCTGTAAAAAATACGTTTTAGAGATTAGGGGCCCCTTGAGCGACATATTGATATGAAAATTTGGTCAAGGTGATTTGACCTAATATGCCTTAATTTGGGTTGATCTAGTTTCGGACAGCGAGTTCTACCAAAGAGCCGTTCATTTCGGCTGGTCGTAGTACAGATCACCTAGGCTTGATCTGGCGGCAAAAACACATCTCGTCAATACGGGCAGCTGCTGGGAAAAATCTGGGTTATTTGATTAGGGCTCAGAAGCACCTTTCTCCACATGACCTCCTCATTCTGTAAAAGGCAAAATAAAATTTCTTTGAGATCATCATAGCAGCCGGGGTGCCCTGGCATTTAGGCTTCTGCCTGTGTGGCTGCTTCGGTGTGAAGAAAATCTTAGTGGGCAATTATCATATATGGCTCCGCCTGTAGCCTTTCTTATGTCTAAAACATACTTCATTGAGAATACTTTTTAAAAACTTTGACATCACATTATTTTCTATCGCGGTATGACCTTGATTTACACCAATAGATATGTTGTAAAACATCAAGCCATCATTAATGCGATTGGGCATAAAATACGTTTTGAAAGTTGCATATAACTGTCAATCGGGCGATTCCTAACAATAAATCCCGCAAATTGCCCGGAAATTATATTGGAGTGGCTTGATGACATTGCTGTCTGCCGTTTATGCTGACTCACAGTCAGGAGTTTCATCATACACACCTTTCTCAGCAAGTTACCGCCAAAGATTATAGAAATGGGATGAGATTTAAGTTGCTTTTTATGTCGACCAAAATGTTATAATCAGATATTAATGTCGCATGTCACTTTTTTCAACAGCCTTGAGGAGTGTTATTAATACGTTTAGTTGTTTCATGGTCTGTAAGAGATTACTGAAAAACAATGTTATCAGTTTCGTTTTTACCAAAAAAATGCATATTCTCAGCATCTTTCATGCATTTTTTGTACAAATAATAGTACAGCTCTAAAATTATACGTATGTGAATATTCCCCTTTTGTGGAAGAATGAAGCGGGTGATAACTTGTTTTCTTATAGTAGTACTTAGTGGTTTTTCTTTATCTATTTATTCACCAATTGCATAAATAAATTACTTTTATTATTATTCATTGAAACTATTGCTCTAGGTTTTGTCCTTCGGTATTCTTGTATTTGACGAGTATAGTACCAGCAATATGGTTACTTGAACTGGACAAGGTCGACAGGAGGATGAAAGCTATAGGAGAAATACCACTAAACTTAACCACAGGATCACAGTTGAAAGATTTTAATGATTTAATCGGGGTATGTTATATTTTGAGTTTGTCTTAGTTATATAAGAAATCTACCGCATAGCAATAACTACGAAGAAAATAATGACAGACGACTTTTGGAATCGAAAATAACGTATGTCTCAAAAGTTTTGGTATAGAATTTTTTTACATAAAAAGCTTTTTACAAGGTTTTGTTTATTAGGCCCGCTAAGTCATTATCTATGATCCAAGAATACGATTTCATAGTACTTCATAAACACGGGCCAAAAGCAGCTCAACATGAATTGTCTCAGAGTGAACCCATTTTTACTGGCGACGCGTAAGAATGGAAAATGTAATATTTCGGATATTTCACCGGCCATTTTGTCACTGGATTGCCTCAGCAACCGTTCCAACGATTTTAATTTAAAAAGTATTAAGATATAAGCCAGCATTATCTACTACATCTCCAATTCCATCAAAATAGCTGCAATTAACAACCTAAATTCAGTAAAGGTGCGCATGAGCCTTAACAAAGCGTAATTTTCTGCCAACAGTGCATATCAGTTTTAGAAAGACTTTAATGTTGTGCCAAAACGGTTGAGACACATGTTAATAGGGGAACGTAGTAACGTAGCATATTTTACGATTATTACTTTCAGGTGCAAATTAAACTTCCAGATATTTCACTCACTACAGAAACCTGGATTACACTGATAGAACAATTTCTGATGCTAATACTGATTATAGGAAGATGGATGCTGCCAAAAGGCGACTTAACTAGAGATCAGCTTAGCCAGCTGTTGCTAGTTTATATAGGTAGGTATGCATGCTAAACTACAAGATATTATGATACTACTAAGTATAAAATCATTTCTGAATTTTTGAGTAACCTTAAAAATAGAAGAAAGTTGCGAATAGTGCGAGAAAAAAATTCGAAGTTACCTTATAACTTTGGACGCCTCTGCAATATTTTTCATTGCGCCCAAAAATTAACTAGGATCCTTAAGATATACCGACAGATGTAAGGGAACTTCATTCCTCAATACATATTGTTATGCAACTTGGAAAACGTTCACATCGTTTCAATTAATCATCAGTTTGCATGCCGCCCTAATAAATCGACTGACCTAGCTCTTCATTCATTCTTATTCATTTTTGTATAATGATGTTTAATAATAATTGTTCTTTATCTGAATCGGGCGTGCCTTGAAAAGGTATGGATTTGGATCAAGCCACATCTACTCTAAATGATGCTGGTTATACAGAGCGTCTGAAAGTTCCGGAATCCCACGATAATTTGTAAACTAATAATATTAAGAAAAACTAAGCCCCGCTATTGATATATTTTCCCAGCTATCTAATGGCGACCTTGGATTGGACCTTGACCATTGTCTTTAAGTTAAATGGAACACTAATTTTGACCTTAGGAGGTCAAGGTTTCTCAGGCTCAGTGATATAACTTGAAAACCAGTAGTAGACATTGTTTTCATGATTTTTCCCCGATTATCCAATAGAGACCGTGGATCTGAGCTCAACAATGATGAGCTTCAAGGTCATGTGAAGGTCAAATCGATTTTTGTTTACAGGGAATAATCGTGAAAAAACAATTCAGTTTATCTGGGGAATACACAGTTTTCTGAATTATCAAGAAATTAAGGTAAGCTTGTGGTTGGCCCTGATTGGTCAAGTCCAAGGTCAAGTCCCTAAAATGGGCAGGGGCATATCGGAACACAAAATGTTCCCTTTCCTCATCAATCGCGGAGCTTAGTTTTTTGTAGGCTGTAGTCTTTTGTAAATGAAACCACAGGTGCTGGATTGAAATATTTGCTGTTTTGGCTACCACGGTGGCCTCTTTCAAGTACAAACTGACAATTATTTTAGTTCAACATCTGTGGTTACATTTGTCGGCTAGTAAAGCATGAAGACTGATTACTGACACAACCACACGATGAGTTTTAGAAGTTACATTAACATGAGTAAGCCCATCCTGGCGATAAAGTTTGTAATCAGGATTTTGCGATAATGTATAATTAGTCGTTTCAAGTACAGCGTAAAGTTCTACCATTAAAATTCTTTTAGGTACTGCTGCCGACATCATAGAATTTTTTGATTCCTTCAAAGATGATAAAATCGCATCCGAACCAATACTCGTTCTGTTGACTTTGGGCATTTGGTAATCATTATTTAGTATTGTCGTACCCACGAATTCTACCAAAATATGCTTGCAGGTCATGGAGTTTGATGCAATTCACTGTGGTACTAACTGCAACTAAAGCAAGAAGATCAAGATTAACCACCACCAAACCCAGTATTAAAAGGTACAGTTCACGAAATCCAATTGTTTGTCAATTTTGGCCTAACAAAGTTTAAAAACCGCTTTAAAATAAAGTGATCTCAAAATACTGATCTTGGTCTTGTAAAGCAAGGTTTAAGCTTTAATTTAGCTACTTGACGATCTCAAAAATCATAGTTTTTAACCTAGTTTTTAAGCATTGAATACACTCATTTTTGGGGGTGTCAGTCATCAAATCGCTTATGACTGGAAAACGGGCAGCTTTAAAGAAAACTTAATGGATTGTTTGGAATCAGCCAAGAAACCTGAACAAAATTTTTCCGGCTTTTTTACTTAGAAATAAATAATAGTTTTAAAAAACTAAAAAAACACGTTTTTATAGCTAACCGAACTAAAATGTAGAAAATAATTTTTAATCACAAAGGGTTTATATTACAGTAAGTAGTAGATGGTCGAACAATCAATCATAATTAATGGCCTCAAAATAAAATTATAACAAAATGTAGGTTATTAGCAGAATAACTCAATTCAGAGTAAAAATCGTGGGGTGCTTGATATATTAAATGTTACAATCATTCTATTGGCAACTATCTATGAGAGGAGAGTAATGAAAATGTAGTAAAATGCACCCTACGTTTTTTACTCTGAATTGAATTATTCTGTTAATAACTTAAATTTTATTATATTTTTATTTTGAGCTCATTAATTATGATTGCTTCAAATTAATCAAACTTCAGGAAATTGGTGAAAATTATGCTCAAAGATTCCATTACATACATACATACATACATATACATACATACAGGTCAAGCTATTAAAAGCGTGTTAAAAAAATAAAAAAAGGTATACCACAATCTGCCTCCTGTGAGGATTGAACTCACGACCTCTGGTTTAGACGACCAGTGCTCTGCCACTGAGCTACAGAGGCTTGTAATTTCGCTATTCGTAAGGCTGCATTTCAAATCCGTGGCTTTTTATTAACATATCTGCTTTTTACAGAATTTTATGAATAAAGATAATGGAAAACTGTTATGAAATTACTCATCGGTCCTTGATACGTGTGCGAAGTTTCAAATTAATAAAACTTCTGTAAATTGGTGAAAATTATGCTCAAAGATTCGGTTACATACTGTATGTATATTAGCTTGGTCATACAGGAAAAGCTAATATAAGCGTGTTAAAAATGCTTAAAAATTCGGTAAAAAAAATATAACTTTTGATGTCGCCAAGTATAAAATTCGAAGTTAAAACAACTTTGCTCTACAAGACCTTGAGGAGTATTTTGAGATTCTTTTATTTTAAAGCGATTTCAAACTTGTTTTTCAGGACAAAATTGGCGAAATTTTGGTTTTCGAATACACCAGTTCCATTACATCTACTGTAAATTCCACCAGATTTTCCAGGGGCGGATTTAAAAAATATTTTTGGGATGGGTCACGATTCATGTTCAGGGAACATACCGGCGATTGAAAACTAGAGGGAAGAGGTCGGTGGCGGCAGCGTCTGCTGCATCAGAGCTTCTTACAGCTACTGCCCTTGTGACAATTGAAGAACGGGGGAAGGGTATCGGCAATTAGCAATGAAGAGCAAGGGAAGTATCGGCGATTGAAAATTAAAGAGCCCGTTCAAATTTTGTTTGAACTAGGATATTTCACGGAGGGTCCGGACGCCCAGGACAGCCTCCCTGGATCAGTCACTGACATTTGCATAAACATTGAGATGGCAAGAATCAATTTTCTATAGACACATCACGTAAGCAGTACGTTAAGCGAAGCTGCTCTCTTTTATATAGCTATCAGCTTTCGGAAAAAGGTTCTGATGAAATTACTGATTTACATTCGATTGTTTTTTTGCAAAAATAATTTGCCCATTTTCACCCTGTTTTTTGTACCAGTTTTTTTTAGCTGGATTCGTAGTTGTTCTTGGTGCTTGGACTGATTCAAATGTGGTCAATATTTTCATTTAATTTTTTCAGATCTGATAACTGTTGCACTATAGATGTTTGCAGTATTGTCCTGAATATCACGCTACAGGATGCTCCATTCCTTGCGTTCAGATTGTTACTGATAACTCATTTCAAGATTATCTCTTACATGAATGTGTTTTTCACTTGCAAGAATACTCTAGTCATACTTTTACAAGTAAGTGCTACTATCCAAAGGTATTTCTCATTATATAATATAAAATAGTTCAACATAATGATGTAGAAACATATACTAAGTGACATTAGAAGTGTTACACCCAGAAAAAATAATTTCTTCAACTTGTTTTTTTTTGGCAACAATGACTATATTTAAAGCATACTGTGACATCAATGTCAACGTTTTATCTTTGTTTTTGTTTACCTTTGTTAAAAGGTTATCTCTTAGTTTTTGTGAAGAAGGCAGTTCCTAAGAGCTGAGTAGTTCAGATATTTTAGTTATTACCCTTTCAATTACTAGTGTTAAGCATAACAAAATGCCACGAGTTCGAAGACGTCCAAATTATCACCAGGTTAGCGACTTTGATAGTGGTAGAATTATTGGCTATCGCGAAATTTCCGCCGTGTTAATTGTACTGCAATGACGGTACGAGGGATGTCTTTTAAGTTTTGCATATAGAAACTTAGTAGGCCGCGCGATCTTTAGTAAACTTAAATTCAAAGTTTCACAACAATACGTGGAGTGTTCTCACCTACAGTGAATTTTTAAGTGTCACCAAGTCATTAGAAAAATGGAACTCAACCGAGAACATTTTCGCGCCATAGTTTATTACAACTTTCAGAGACAATTATCGCAACAAGAATGCCTTGCTGAGTTACTGTCTGTTTTCGGCAACGAAGCGCCACATCAGTCGACAATTTCCTGTTGGTATGGAGAATTCAAACGTGGACAGGTGAGTCTTAGCGACGATCCCAGTGTGGGTGCACCAAAAACGGCAGTCACCCAGGAAAACGTCGATGCTGTGCGCAAACTCATGATTGAAGATAGACATGTGACATATCGCGAGATTGAGGCGTCCTTGAAGATCTCAAAGACCTCAATTCAAACAATTTCACATGCAGAATTAGGAGTAAGAAAATTAGTTTCTCGTTGGATACCCCACCTGTTGACTGAATAGTAGAAAGCAACCAGGGTTAATTGGTGTCAAAAAACGCTTGACCGTTTCAATTCCGGAAACTCAAAAAATGTGTACAGCATTGTTAGTGGTGATGAATCGTGGATTTACTGTTATGAACCAGAAAATAAACGACAGTCGGTTGTTTGGGTGTTCTAAGGTGAAGAAGAGCCAACAAAAGTCATCTGTTCTCGAAGTGTTTCGAAAAAGGTGGTCGCGACATTTGTGTCAAAAGCGGGTCATATTGCAACAATTCCTCTTAATGAACAAAGAACTGTTAAAAATCAATCCCGAAAGAAGAATCATCCTCCACCAAGACAATGCAAGCTCGCACACAGACCAAAAAACAGGGCAGTATTTAACGGAAGAAAAGTGGAATTATTGGACCATCCTTCATATAGTTCCGATCTAAGTCCTAACGATTTCTTTACTTTCCCGAAAAGTAAAAACAAACTGCGTGGTCAAAGGTTCCAGTCACCAGAAGAAGTAGTTGACGCATTCAAAAATGCCGTTTTGGATCTGCCAGCAAACGAGGGGAATAAGTGCTTCGAAAATTGGTTCGAGCGCATGGAGATGTGTATTAATCTTCGTGGAGAATACTAAAGTCATTTAAAACTACCTACCGTAATGTTTTATTTCCATATGCAAAACTTAAAAGACATCCCTCGTAATGCGTGTGTGTATAGAAGAAGGTAGAGAAACACGAAGAAGGCCAACTACCGAGGCGTACCACAGAGCCTCAGATCGCTGACCAATGGTTTGGAGAAGAAGGTAGACATGTTACTATGCGTACACTCTATCGCCACATTCGAGCCTTTGGATTTTTTTCGTACCGTCTACGGTTAGTGCTTCCTCTGACTGCGGACCACTGTATCAACGTTAGAGCTAGAGCAGAGAACGGCAACATTGGGAGGCAGAATGGCATAATGTCATCTTCATCTACGAATCGCGATTCTGTCTAGGTACGCACGATAGTCGTAGAGGGTAAGACGCCGCCGTGGAGCACGGCGTGATATTGGATTTGCTATTGAGAGGCACGTACACAGGACTGTTGGAGTAATGGTTTGAGGAGCTATTTCCTATTGTAGCCGATCACCCCTTTTCTTTGTCAAAGCAATATTACCGCTGCGCGTTATGTTGATGATGTTTTACAAACCAATTTACTGCCGTATCTATGGGGCTGTCCACACGGACTTTCTACAAGAAGCAGGCGTTAATGTTTTGCCACCCCGTTCACCGGATTTAAATCCCATCGAACATGTGTGGGCTAGGATGGGGAGGAGACTATCCACTTTGCACCATCCATCACAGACTCTGCCACAGCTATTCCACGGAGTTCGAGTTTCTTGGAATGAGGTGCCACAACCAGACATCGATTATCTCATTTTGTTGATGACTAGACGTATACAGGGGTGTATTCAGCTGCTGGGTCGCCCAACACATTATTATTTTTCTTCTTTTTACTTGCCAATAAATTTTCGTGAGAATATTATCGTTTCATTCTTGATGTAAGACTAACTCATTGCCAAAAAATCAAGTTGAAGAAATTATTTTTCTGCCTGTAACACTTCTAATGTCATTGAGTATATTAGAACGGCAGCAAAGCATCTAATAATAGCGGTTTACTCTAAGGCACACCTTTTTATGAAGTTACATAAAAAACTAGGCCACTTGAATATACCGATGTTTTTCAGATGTATAGGTTGTATGTTGTCTACAGTGAGCATAACAAAAAGGTAGATGATCACGAGCAACTTACTAACATTTCGATCATTTCAAAAGATATCGGTTATAACAGAAGACCTAGGAGACCTTCTACCAGAGCATACAGAAGCAGTGTCAGACGATCTCGGGAAGAAGTAAATTATTCTAGTGAGAGTGACGGAGATCGCAGCAAACAAAAAAGGTACAAGGAGTGTGCAAAAAATGGCGTCAAGTAGGTTCACCCTGAACTTCCTACATGTTATGATCAGTGCAATTTTAAGCCATCCCAGAAAAAAGTCAGTTACGAACATTTACAAAAGAGAAATTAAACGTATTAAGGCGGCTCCGACGCAGTGAGTTTCAGGCCATTTACAAGGGTTTAGCTGCTTCGGAATTGATGCTCCATTTTTCTATATATTTGAATAAAATTTATACAGTATGTTCAGAAGACAATTGTCCAGGGTGCTATAGAGCCACTTTTCTAAAAAAAAAAATTTTTTAAGAAGTTATGGTGGGTGGAAGTGCAGATAATTGTTGTTCGACTTCTCGATCTTTTTAAAAATAACCCAGAGGAAAAAACGAAAAAGTGGCTCTATAGCACCCTGTGGAGTCTTGTTTTTAGTGCACTGTGAAAATTTCATTGAAAAATATTCAAAAATGAAGCGTCAATTTTGAAGCGCGAAAACCTCTGCAAATAGGCTTTTACACGAATTTTATCCACTATCTCGTGCTGCCAGTCGAAGCAACGCGGCGGTATGTACGGACTAAGAAAGGACGTATTCAGATAATTTGTTGTCCCAAGTTAAACAGTAGCAGTTTTAACGTCGGTCGTTCGAGATAAACATCGGACCAGTAAGTGATATTTTTAATAGACTTCAATGAAAGAGGGGAAATTTTTAATCGATTTTGATCATTTCTTTTTATACAATAGGCCATGCTTCAGAGGTGATACCACAAAAAATCATTTTTGTTCAATCACCCCAATATGGATATCAAATGGAAGCACTTGTACAAAACAGTAATACGAAAACAGTTTCAAATCAAGATGGCGGCCGTCACAAAATGGCGGATAATATACTTGCTAATATCTCAAATAAGAGTCGTCGCCTTGTAGAATACAGTACTTCACTAAAAATTTGATTCCAAGATTGCCGCCGTTTCGAAATCGCGAGTTACATATTTTTGTACAAAACCCCCAATTTACATATCAAATGAAAAGACTTGACATGTGTGGTAAAATACAGAACTTTGTGACCAAAAGTTTCCAGGTGGTTCCAGGGTCATTGGAGGCTGTAACCTTTTTAGTTAAAAATAATAATTATAGTGAACGCATTTAACACAAATAAAATGTCACTTGCTGTTTAGCTTTAACCTTATGAAGTATCGTAAAATAAACTTAACACGATAAGCGTCATGAGATATAATGCGTGTGTCGCACCTCATTTGGCGCTTTGGGCCTCGTGATACACACGATATGTCTCACTGCTGGCAGTTATATTTGGCCGCGTAACGTAAGACGTGTGCCATGCGGATGTTATTTTCTTACGGGATCCAAGGGTCCGTGGCCTGAGGGACCAAATTATACTGAATTGGAAAGGAAAACATTAAAAAACACGTTGTTTATAGAGTTTTACAAAAAGAGGATATTCTACAAATCTAAAACAAAAAGCAAATCTCATAAAATAATCAGACATTCTCATTCAAAAATGAACAAAGTAATTTCACAGCAAATCAGTAAGTTATGGTAAATGTCAATATTCTAACGAACACAAATATGGAGGAACTCTTATAAACTAAACAGATTGACAAAGTCTTATGCAGGAATAAACAAAATACCGGTATAAATAAACAGTAATACAGATAAATATGGAATTACTACAACTACTATCTGATTCACTACCACTTGGAGAATACGCATCAGATAAGTATACATCCCCACATAACTCAGTACTGCCACTCTCTTCATCCGATAGTATTTCATTACACAATTGTTCAAGCCTTTTTTGCTCCGCTTAGTAATGCGATATCACTAAATTTGGTATTCAATAGTTTATAAACAGTGAAGCAATTTGGTCAAGATGACGTACAATACCAACAACGCTTCAATAATAAATGACACGAAACAGTGCTCAACGCGCGACATGATGCAAGTCTTGACTTGCAAAAAACGCGACGCGACTTATGTGCCACGCGACCCGACTGGTCTGTGGGCCACGCGACATACAACTAGTACCTCAGAAAAAAAATCAAAAAAGGGGAAAAATCATAGGATTTGAGAAAAAAGACAAGTCAAAATTTTAAACCGAAACTTAAAACAAGTTAATTTGACAATAATAACAGTTTGGCCCAGAGGACTGGATTTTCAGATTCTACTGTGGCGCTTAACGTGTCAATGTGACATTTCAATATTCGCCATCTAACAGACTAGATAAAGCTAGCCGATGCTACGTGCTATTGAGCCTGACGATTGACTTTTATTTAAATAAACAATATATACATAATATACAATAAATAGTGAACATCTGGTACTAGTACCAAAATGGAAGAGATTAGCATAACATCTCGCACATCGCTGCTAAAGCGAGATCTGCACACCGCATTTGCCGACACGAAGGGGTTAGTAACGGCGTACAATGTAATATGCTAATCTCTTCCAGTTTGGTACCCGAGTACAGCAAAAATAGCCAATTCTCAAGAAATCTTTTTCTTGTTCAAACGGTTCTCTTGTGCCTTCAAGATCACATCGGGATCGCGGATTGGCATATTTCTGCTTTTCCTGGGATCGACCAGTTCTGGGAGCAAGCAGTTCATGTAGAAGAATTTCAATTTCTCTTCCATTTCATTTTTCCAGAAAACGTCATCCTTTTGAATGACATCTATTTTCAAACCATACGGGGTCCAAACACCAAGCACCCAGTACTCTCTTTGTGCAACGTGTAGCTGCCCTTGAATTGGGTAATAACATTTATGTTTTTTATTTATTTCATCGTTTATCCAAAACGTAATTTTTTTATTTAGAATGCCCTCTTCAGGGGTCATTTATCTAGCCGACCATGGACATTTAATTTCTAGCAGACCTTTTTCGCCTATCAAACCATCTGGCGATGCAGCCAGAAATGGATGGGTCCTATCAATAAGCAACCCGCAAGATTGTACTTCTGATTGCGAATATGATTTCTCTATTTCTGCTTTTGCCACGCGTTCATGCTTTTTTCCATAGTCACATGCATTGCTAAAGAATTCGGTTGAGTATATTATGGCGTTTACTAGAGCTTTGCAACTTGTTGTATCTCTTCTTCTACAAACCTCACCAAACCGAGACGCAGTCAACCTCATTCTTCGATGAAGACGGCACAAATTGCAATCCTGAGATTTTTTTGAATTCTACCTTGGCAGCCTCTATATCTTCGTTGCTCAGGTCAGGCTTCTCACATAATTCCCCATAGGATGCGTTCTCTTTAGTATCACTATCTCTGATTTTAATTTTCCTTGGTTTCAGCTTCCTTTTCAGATTTTTGTGCGCTCTCCTTTCTTCAACTTTAGCAATCAAAGAGGTTGGACTGAAACTAGGGAGTTTTGGATCACACAAACAGGCCGCTGTGTATTGTGGCTCACTACGGCTGCAGCACATCTTCCTTGGTAGGATCTCTTCTTGCAATAATTAATCCGTTTACCCCCAACGAATTTAGCTATGATTGAGTTAAACTGCTCTACAATATTATTATCGACGTCATGAAGTAAACTTACTGCATTTTTAATCAGAATTGGCAGAAATGATATCAGCCTTTGGTGCAAATCTAAAAAAAAGGGTATACACACCTGAATTTGAAGGTCCATGCCATCTGTCTCTGTTAGAGAATGCATATGCGAAACCTTGCTGTCATTTTTAAGCTAAAATAACATATAAAATATAGTTATAATAGTAACTACGTATAGTCTAATTTATTGGCAAAATGAATGCTAAAATTCATAATTGTTTTGGTACCTACCTTTCTATCTGGAAAACGTTTTTTTTCCTGTGCGTATGCGGCTTCTTCGAGACGCCACGTTTATTTCTCTTATTGTTCATTTTTGATACCTTGGTAAGAAAGACACTCAACAATAACAACACAACAATAACAACACGATAATACAACAATACAATAACGGTAATAAGAGTAATAAGGGCTGGGTATACTATGCGCCAAAATAGGGAAACAGTCGTACGCTAGATCGTAAATTCGACTCTGTGCAATATGCAAATTCAACCAGGCACGCGAACAGCACACCTCTGCGTATTACTATCCTTTTCTAACGTAGAGCGCTTGCCTTGTCACAACGCCGTCCTACTAGCGTTTCCCTATCACCCCCCCCCCCCCCCCCCCCCCCCCTCCGGTACCCCTGAGAAACTCTGCTTGACTGTGAGAGCGCCGTTAAGTCAGTCTAACAGCAGCCCTATACCATTAGTCCATAATACTCTTTCCCTTTCCACCGGTAATTACTGTCCATCTGGCAACGTTGTCTCTTTCCACATCTGCACGGCATCGCTGCAGATAGTTATCGTTCATTGCGTGCATGGTCCGTGTATAGTACGGATAGATTAATCAGCCGGACCGGTTCTCCGATGGGAGTACGCGGATCGAAAACATGTTTCTGTCATTCAAAGTTTTAAAGACAAATGTGCGGGGAAATATATGCTGTGTGAACTTTGGCAAACATGTGCACAAAATTACGGGTTGTACTGAGATCAAAAAAGTTTCATATCTCCCCTATCCCTACAGATATTTTTCTGAAAATGATCAGGACCCTCTGAAACGTCTAAAAACGATTTTTATAATGCTTGATTTGGTCTGTAGTTTGTAGAGATCTACCGTTGATGCTATTAGAATAAGTAATAGGAGCACGAGACCGATTGAATTTGATTTTGAAAGATTTCGCATCATTTAAAACTAGAACATTCACTCCACACAAATGAGAAATATGGACTAAGTCTCATTGCAGCAATTCAGCATCATGTTTGTTCCCAATAACTCTAAAAATCTTAACATTATCCGCAAATAACAGAATTTTACTGCGTACTAAGCTCACAGCATCATTAATAAATATATTAAATAACAATGGACTCAAGCTGGAGCCCTGCGGGACTCCAGAAGTTACACGAATACTACGAGATGTACACCTAACATATATTAACTAAAACTGTATAATCAGATAAGTAACTACTTATCCAATTCAAGAGCTGACCATAAACGCCATAGTTGCAAAGTTTGGACAATAGTATCAAATAGTTAACCCTATAGAACGATTTAGAAAGATCCAAATAAACAGTCCACCTGCTGGCCTTGCTCGACTGAATTGCACAAATAGTTACTGTATAATATCAAACTGGTATAATTTGACTTACCCTGACGAAAACCATGCTATTGATTGGCAATACTACTTTTAAATTCATTTTGTGAAGACTTACTCATCAAATAATCCATCAATTTCGGGATAGATGACTGAATACACACCGCAGGTTAGTTTTCAACAATATTCTTATTTCCTGACTTGAAAATGGGCGTTAAAAAGCTTCGATTCCAGTAATATGGGAGATTTCTCGACTGCAGTGATTTATTGAACAAACAAGCACAATGGTTTTGCCAAAGTAAATATACATTTTATAAATTCAAAAGTATTCCTGATCGGAAGACGTAGATCATTTTTGGAGACTCCTTTGTCAGCGTGGTTGCGAGGTTATGTACTTTAGCCAAATCCGCTATATGCTTTTTTTGTAGACAATCGAAGGCCTCCCGGAAAGATACTGGTTATTCAACAGAAAGTTCTCATGCCAGTCTGAGGAAGCAGAATAGATCAAAAAATAGACGATCGGGAGATCGATCGAGGAGCAGAGAATACTTAGACGAAGAAGAAAATAGAAGGGATTCCAAGCAGAGACTGAGAAGATCTGACGGAGATACAAAAGGTACATTTTCTATATCAAGTATTTTGCAATACTGCGAATTTAATAAAAATGCATCAGCCATCAACGTTCCACCGCTATGTCGCCGGGATCCAGTAAAGATCTGCGACACTTGAAACTAATTGGAGAAAAAAATTGATCATATACTATACACGAGAAGGAAGAGAGCTTTTTGAATTAACAAAGTCGGGGCCCGATATTTCGCCTAAATCAAAGAGATGCCGCGTTAGAATGGGCGTGCGATGTGTGTTCTCTTTCATTTCTATTTCAGAGTATATGAGTAATAATTATGAATATTAACACAAATCGATGCACAATCATGCCGTTGCGATCCTCAAAAAATCCCGTTTGCAGAATTAGAATGTTGAGTAAGGCGCGTCCACTATTCTTGGAGCATCTACGAAGTCGTGGCCGTGGTTCCATAAAAATAGACGAGAGTTTAGATGATACAAGATAGAAGAGACACGATCTTTTTTCATTTAGGATCTTAAAAATTGGTGGTAAAAGGTAGTCGAAAAAATTGTATAAACTGGTATAGACCAAATCGACCATGTTTCGGAAAGACGTAATTGCGGTTTTACAGCGGCATTATATTTTTGAGGATATATGACAAGGATCCTCATCCACAGATACAAAAAATTTGGCGTCTAAGTTTTTTATTAAACGTCAAAGTTTTAAAAGTTACTTTATCGCGTGTATTTAAGTAGTTATGAATTATTGGTGTAAGAGGTCAAAAAAAATTGTAGTCGATGAAAATACCTTCAAAATAAGAACGTACACGGCCAATTTGCCGTAATTTAATGTTGCAAAAAAACGTCAGAAATCTTCGACTTCTACGTTTATTTTGACTAGAAAATATATAAATAGGTAGAGCTGAAATAATAGCCAATAATTAAAACCTTTGTAGTGTTTAACATCCATAAAAAATGTTATTCACTAATGCAACTGTTTCTGCAATTTTCGAGTTGTTACTATTTTTTCCAGAAATTGGAATTTTTTGACAACCCGTCCAGCGACTTTGGATTAATCAAATGGCCTCAGCCTTAGTTTAATATCGCATTGGAAGAAATAGCAAATTTTTTATGCACATTATGCACAAAAGCTTCGCCAATGGTAGGAGCAACAAGTGCAAAATGATCCCCTTAAGGCAAAAACTTTACTGCGCTCAAAGTTTCTGACAAAAACGCAAGATTTAAATTGTTAAGAGTAGTGAATTTACTTGCATTCGTAACTTCATACTTATTTATCATGATATGTTTGTAGTATATTAGTTTCGTCATATTTTCTAAAAGTTTAGTAAAGGATCGTTTTATACACATGTACGTATAAGATGATCCAGGCATACAACGTATCTTATTCTTTTTTAACCTTAATTATATTTAGAATAGGCTTCGGAACACAACAAGCATTAGGTATTTAGAAAAATCTGATCTATAACATTTTTCTTATTTTTTCTTTCCCCGCCACAATTTCCTTTATTTTTCTTTTTGTTTGCAACTGGGTATTTCAATATTTTTTCTTTTTTATTCGCTTTCTTTTCTTCTTTATCTGCTTTCTTTTTCGTTTCATCCTCTAGGTAGTTACAGGTAGGTACAGTCGTATGTACTCCTACTCGTCTTAAATTATTTCTTATTCCTACTATTTTTGGCATTGGTTGTATTTGCCTTGGTATAAGGACCACAAAAAATGTGGGTGGAAGGTCAACCGAGTAACGCCTGGAGACGCTTTGGAATTAGATTCAATTGCTGTAGATAAAGCTTGAGATAAGAGGGCTACCACCTGGCTTTTCCAATGAGGGAGATTGCTACTAATAAAATCTTACGGAGCTACACTTGACTGCGAAATATCCATCGTTTTTCCTGATAGAGGCGTTTCAGGTGGAGATTCTTGTAAAGGTACTTGACGCGATGACTGTGGTACTTGTGGAGATTTCAGAATAAACTCTTGCGACGAAGGTTGAAGTGTCTTATCCAAGGTTCCTGATGTGTTAAATGAAGATATTGCTGGATAGTCACTTGCTAAGATCGCGGTGCTTCTGATAGAAATTCTAGAATATACACTGGAGGAGGAGATATTTGCATGGTTTCTGGTGATGAAGTATGTGACCGTGACGTATCACAGAGGCAACTGGCGGGGTTGCGGAGATGAGATGACTTTTGTTCCGAATTTGGATAGATACAGCTAGTGGTCACTCGCATACGGTGGGGAATAGTTTTACCTCTTGAGATCGTACTACACGCATCTTCCCTGTATCTATTTTTGCCTTATAACAATTATAATAAGCCAGTCGTTTTTCAACAGACGTAATTAGGATATCCACTACTAATAAATAATAGTTTAAAAAACTAAAAAACACGTTTTCATAGCTAACCAAACTAAAAAGTAGAAAATAATTTTTACTTACAAAGAGTTTATATTGCAGTAGCAGATGGTCGAACAATCAATCATAATTAATGACATCAAAATAAAATTATAATAAAATGGGGCTGCTTGATATATTAAATGTTGCAATCATTCCACTTGCAACTATCTATGAAAGGAGAGTTATGAAAATGTAAAATACACCCCACGCTTTTTACTCTGAATTGAATTATTCTGTTAATAACTTAAATTTTATTATAATTTTATTTTGGGGTCATTAGTTATGATTGATTGTACGACCATCTACTACTGTAATATAAACTCTTTGTAATTAAACATTATTTTCTACTTTTTAGTTTAGTTAGCTATAAAAGTTTTTTAAACTATTATTTATTTTTTAGTTCGATTTATCAATTTTTTTTGTGGGCATGTCATGATAGTGCATTGTCATCAGTTCTTGATACCCCTGGTTTAGACGACCAGTGCTCTGCCACTGAGCTACAGGGGCTTTTAATTTCGATATTCGAAAGGCGGCATTTGAAATCCGTGGCTTTTTATTAACATATCTCTGCTTTTTACAGAATTTTATGAATAAAGATAATGGAAAACTGTTATCAAATTATTGCGTTGTGATCGGTCCTTAATGCGTGTGCGGAGGTTCAGATTAATCAAACTTCTGGAAATTGGTGAAAATTATGCTTAAAGATTCATACATACATACAGGCCAAGCTAATATAAGCGTGTTAAAAAGCGGATAAAAAGTAACTCATTTCGACGAAAAAAGGAAGTTTTTTGGACCTATGGGGACGATAAAACTTAAAAAAGTAGATCTTACAGCAAAGGTCGAACTGTCGTATCCATTGACGTGCACCAACTATAAGTCAGAAGAAGTTGACAAACGCGGTTATCCTGCTTCTTAGTCCAGGACTCCGTATAACGCAATATACGGCACACACAATACCATTCAATTTTGTGTAAATAAATTAACATTACTCCGATAGCGCTGTAATTGTGGGTGAGTTTTTCAGATTTCCTGAAAAACTTATATCACAATATAAATCTTGAATAAAAAATTCAGAAAAACACTTTGCATAAGAAATTCAAACATAAACTACGACTTCGAAAAACAAAGACGTCATTTGAATTCGCTGTGGAATGCCTCACCTTTGTAAGGTGTGTGTTGTTGCAAATATGAAATTTTATAGTTTTGAACAGGCAGTTTAGTAAACTGGGCTTAATTGCGACCCTTAATGTGGATGACTAACGTTATGGTGGCTTGTCTGAGGAAAAATGGTATTTCGGCTCCCAAGGACCCAAAAACGTACCTTTTTTTCGTCAAAGTGTGTATTTTCCATCGGCTTTTCAGTAGTGAGCATCCTAACTATGGCCGTTAAAAAACAATGGACTTATTCTAATTATATGTAAGGCACAAATAGACGAACTCTTGACAACGCTTTTACATAAGGTTAGTATACAAAAATCTAGTACCTCTGTTAATAAAATATCAAGCCAAGTCTCTAGCAAGAGAATAAGCCCAATGTGAGGCCATTCGATTGATCCAAAATAAAAAAAGCCATTATTTTGAAGAAAAATTAGTAACAATTAGAATGCAGAAACGGTTGAGCATTTTTAGTGATTTTTTTATGTTGAGCACCACAAAGGCTTCAACATTCGTGATTATTTCAGATTTTCCGTTATGCATTTTCCAGTAAAAAATAAATGTAGAAATCGACGATTGCTGACTATTTTTATAATGACAAATTGACCGTTTCGGCAAATTGGCCGTAAGGTCTTATTTTGAAGGTATTTTCATCTCTAACAGCTTTTTTGACCACTTACACCAATAGTTCATAACTATTTGAATACGAGTATATTCGAAAAGTGGTTTTTCCAACTTTGCCGCTTAATAAAAACATTAGCTAGCAAAATTGTTTGTATATTACGGCTTTTGTTCGTTCGATCATAGACGGCAAACCATGGACAGCTGTTTCATGTTATTTGGCAACTCTTTAGCATGGTGTACGCTTGGTCTCGATGGAGAGCGAATACTAGCTGAGCAACTCTACTCTATTTAATGCGAACTGGCATAAAGTTCCAACAGTCAGATTGCTGTTTTCACTTTCGTCGTCGATTCTGGTAATCGATGGCACTTTGTGCTATATTATTTTGACAAACGTGTAGTTTGACTACACTACTTGTATCCGGATGGAATATTTGCAGGTCGAAGAAAAATGGAAGATGCTTTCCCAGAAGAAAGTGATCAAGATCAAGAGGAAGCTACCATAGTGAGAAAGCAGAAGAAAACGCGAGGGTCCAATGAGAAAAAATACCAGAACGCAGATTCCAGCGATCCCTCAACCGAATGACGTCATCTACTTGCCATCATGGCCTTGTTTTGCCTCTTTTTCTTCATACTGATTTGTTGCCTATTCTTTATCTACTGGGGGATCAACACTGAGGGCTTGGTGGTAGCTAAAGTGTACAGGCATTAAGGGCCGATTTTACTCGTGGCCCTCGAGGATCAAAATTTGATCCGTGGTTCAGAATTTACCAATCAGATTTGTCAAATTGGCGAAAAATAAGTAACTTGTTTAATAAGGTTCTTCAAGCCCCAAACTGAACCAAGCGTTTTTGATTGATCACCTGATTTAGCTACAAAAGCCTACTTTTATATTTGATCTGTGTATGAAAATTTGATCCGTGGATCAAAATATTCACTACCAGATGATAGAACCAAATTTAAAACAACCATAAGAACTTGAAAAAATTATAAAATGATATATCGGTTGCTATAGTTAGGTAAAGATTTTAATAATTCCTTGATAACTCTCTTACTAGATTTGTAGACGGTCATCAGTCAAGAAAGTTTGTTGATTTTTTCATTGCAGTACAACAGTTTACTTGGAGACAAAAATTCTATTACAGAATCCTCATTACTGGACAAAGATCAGGCAAAGGTGCAATCCACTTTACTACCCTGCAAAATAATTTAAATTCGCAACACGTGTTTAGAGATAATTGAGATTCGCTTATAATCGTCGCACTTCGTACTGACATCTCTGTTCAATAAGTTTAAGGAGGCTGAGAGTGGGGTGAAAGGAACGCTTTTGTGTGAGACGTCATTAAAACGCAGTCGACGGACTGATGCAGTGCTACCAAATCTAAGGCCCTTGCGACTTCTTACTGTACTGCAAGCTGATAATACATATACGAGTAGATAATATATATTATCAAGGGTCTGTTTTGTCGCCCCATGGTAATTGACACGTCTTTTTCAATTTAATGGATAGAGTCAGAATGGAGTTTAATACGATCATCTCCTTTATTTTTTGATTCTACGTGGATTTGAGGTGATTTATAAAGCACTTTTTGATTTAGGTTGGGGACTAGAGGCCCTTCTTACGCAAATCATATAATTATCTGCTAGTTTGAGAAATATTTTAGAAGAAATTTACGATATACTTCAAAAACGTATTCTGATTGGTTAATTTTGATCCGTGGGTCCAATTTTGATACCCGGATCGTAAAATCGGTCCTAAGAGAAATATGAAATCCGAAAAAACATCTTATAAGTTAAGAAACAAAATGCTGATAGTGTGTACTGTTAAATAATTGCAACTTCTAAAATGATTTATTATGATCGATAATAAAACCACGTATATGCTATTGCCACTGATCAACGCATTCTACCCGAAGATAGCCAACCTAGTGCTATATTCTCGCGTCCAAGAAGTAACCCGAGATAAAATGAGATACAGTAGCGTCATCTATGAGAATTTGTCACAGTTGTTTCTCTATCTACTATATGGGTCGAAACTAATATTCCGCGACCTGGCTTGGCGTGTCATATGTCAGATCGAGTTCAAAATTGTCTCCTGGAGAGTGCTTATGGAAGCATGTCTTTAAATACAACATCTTTCAATGGATATCTTTTAAATATTGCAGAGAACCTAGTTACTAAGATACAGAATTCTACCTCACCCAGCAGCTTTTTAAACAAAATCAATGATTGTTTTAAATTTAAAACAGTATCCTACAATCAAGTGAAAGTCGCTATAAGCAAATAAAAAAAAACAACGGCTGTAGATATTCTTGACATCAACATAAAAATAAAAAGTAAATCTGTCATAAATCTTACAATTATACCGCTAACAAACTTATTCAATTGAAGAATGAAGGCTTTCATAGGCGCATCAGTTTTGCTGTAGTGTCACTTTTCACAAATGTCCCACTAGACCTATCACTGGATTACCTGAAGCAAGTTTTTCCAGAGGATATCCTGAACTACATATTTCCAGTGGAACAATCAATTTTATGAATAAACTGACGGCGTCGCAATGGGAAGTCCGCTAAGCCCGGTAATAGCCAATTTTTACATGGAAAAGTTCGAGAAAGCAGCACTGAACACCCCCCCCCCCCAATCGTCCCAGTTGTTGGCTAGGGTATGTGGATGATACCTTCGTGGTATGGAGCCACGGAAGAACAGAACTAGCAGTGTTCCTAAGTCACCTAAACAGCATTCACCCCAAAATCAAATTAACAATGGAAATAGGAGAGGACAATCAACTGGCCTTCCTGGACGTATTGGTGGCCAGACGAGCGAACTTAAAGCAACAAACACTGACAGATATTTACACAAGGACTCAACCATCATCCTGGACAAAAAAAGGGGTGTCATTAAAAATATGATAGACAGGGCACACCGAATTCGTGAACCTCAATACCTGCAGGGGAACAAGATCATGTTAACATGGTTTTAAAGCAAACGGCTATAGCAGGGAACAAATAAAAAGCAGGTCTCACGACAAAAAGCCAGACCGCCGGCAGGAGACATGGAACCACCTATGGGAGTCTCCTTCCTACCACACATTAAAGGCATTACGTATAGAATAGGAAGGTTGCTGCAGAAGCACAACGGCAAGACCATCTACAAGCCGACAAATAAAATCTAGCAACTCCTAGCATCAGTAAAGGACCTTAGGGACTCCCTGAGCGGGGCCGGCGTATACGGAATACCGTGTTCCTGTGGTAAAGTATACGTAGGCACCACTAAACATAGCTTCCAAACACGCATCAAGGAGCATGAAAGAAGCTGTCGACTGGGACAAACTGATAAATCAGCGGTGGCCGAACACGCACTCCAAGACGGCCACAATGTTCTATTCGACCAAACTGAAGTCCTATCAACATCCACCCACTACTCAGCCCGAACGTACGGAGAAGCAATTGAAATCTACAAACACAATGATAATTTTTTTAAACAAAACGTGGTTCGCAATTCTAAAAAACACAGCGAAAAAACCACGTCACTCAAGTGACCCAGAGTACCCCCACCAGACCGCTCAGTCCTCAGTCCGCCTATCACCTATAAAACCGCACGCTCGTCCAGTTGACCGATCGGTTTTAGTCGACCCGCCAAGCCGAGCACTTCGCTCTCGCCGACAGCGCCACTGAAGATGGCTACCGCAGATGTAGCCGAAAGCTCTGGATCAAATCCAACCCGACCACGGCTCAACAGCCCGAAAAACCTAAATGACAAACTTATTCAACATTTATACAGGGTGGCGCATCGAAAACGAAACAGACGCATTTACTGGCAGCTCAGTTTTTTTTTGGAAAAACGCTCAGACCCGTCGATTTTGTTTTCGAGGGGGCAAGTTTGGCAAAAAATCACGTTAAACGTGCAGCCCCTTGGGCGGGGGTGACACCAACTCTAAAATCTTAAATGGAAAGTTGGGTCGAGTGATGCCTTATTTTAAAGGTCTTTCAATTCCATTTATAATGATGTAAAATACATGAGCTTCAGTTCAGTAGTTTTGAAGATTTATTGATTTAAAGCTTAAAGTAGTCTTTAATAGGTACATCAGATTAGTTTATACTACTTTCAGAAGAAATTTGACTAAAAGAATTTACTTAATAAGTAAATGCTTTTCTTCACTATGCCCATGGTTTGTTTATCATTTTGTTGTTGGAAATAGCTATTGGAGCGTTTTTTTGTGGCAAAAAAGTTATTTCTTGAAGAAAGATAAGGAAATATCTCGTACTTATTTTAAATAGGAATTTAGTACATAGTTTGCGATTGATTTGACCAAACTTTATTGCTAAAATAACTTGTAACGCTTTATTACATAAATTAACCATGGTATATTCCACAGCAAAGAGTTGAAATTATCGAAATATTTTTCGGAAATAATCGGTGCGCTAATAGAACAGCAGAAATATTTAATGAGCGACATGAGAACAGTAACGTGCATCGAAAATATGTTCTAGAACTTGTAGCTAAATTTCGGGAAACTGGGTCAGTCGCCGATAAAAACGCAACATTGAAAATCCCGTAAGGAACGAAGCAATAGAAGTGGGGGTTTTAGGGCAAGTTTATGTAGATCCTACATTAAGTACCCGCAAATTGGAGACTGTGTGTGGTGTTAGTCGACGTACTGTCCAACGGATTATAAACCTGGTACAAGAACTTAATAAAGACGATTTTGATCGGCGATTACAATTTTGTGAAGATATGAGTGAACGAATTATAAAAGATGATCATTTTCTATTCAACACTTGCTTTTCCGACGAATGTTCATTTTTCTTAAATGGCGTAGTAAATCGTCATAACTGCCGATATTGGTCCGATTCTAATCCCAGATTTTATCATGAGGTTCATACACAGCAGCCACAAAAATTAAATGTTTGGGCTGGTATTTTTGGCGATCATTTAGTTGGTCCTTTTTTCTTACCTGGAAATCTGACCGGTGAAATGTATTTTGGAATTACTCGAAGACGCCATAGATCCTGCATTAACAGCCATAATTGAAAATCAGAATGATCGGCGGTACATTGCGAATAGGTTGATGTTCCAACAGGATGGTGCCCCACCCCATTACGCATTACGTGTTCGACAATATTTAGATCAGACGTTTCCAGATCGATGGATTGGTAGAAGCGGTGCCATTGAATGGCCCCCAAGATCGCCAGATTTATCATCTTTGGATTTCTTTATGTAGGGTCATTTAAAAAGCAAAATCTATGCTACTCAGCCAACATCATTAGAAGACCTGCGACAAAGAATTGTGAACGAGTGCCTTCAAATTACTCCTCAAATATTGCAAAATGTGCGGCAAAGTTTTGAGCAAAATCTTAATTATTGCATGGAGAGTTATGGTGGCCATTTTCAACATTTACTTGCCTAACGGGTCAGTTCATTCTTCATTTTTAAACTACTTTGCTGCCAAATGTATTGATCTCCACTAATGATGATGTATATATTAGTTTTATTTAAGCTTTAAATCAATAAATCTTCAAAACTATTGAACTGAAGTACATTAATTTTATATCATTATAAAGGGAATTGGAAGACCTTTAAAATAAGGTATCACTCTACCCCCTTTCCATTTAAGATTTTGGGGTTGGTGTCACCCCCGCTTAGGGGGCTGCATGTGCTAACATGACTTTTTGCCAAGCTTGTGTCCCCCTCGAAAAAAAAAATCGACGGGACTGAGCGTTTTTCAAAAAAAAAACTGAGCTGCCAGTAAATGCGTCTGTTTCGTTTTCGATGCGCCACCCTGTATAATTCATAACATTTTCCAGATATTTCTAAGATTAACCAAGTTTATTCCCCTTTTTAACAGCGGTAACTCTAATGATGTATCTAATTACAGACCAACCTCCCTGGTATCTGTTATTTCCAAGATCTTTGAGATGCTGCTAAAAGACCAAATAAATGATTTTTTTAATCAAATAATCTATTTACTAATTGTCAGTTTGGCTTCAGATGACGTAGATCAACATCAGATTTTAATGCTTTTATTGATAACATTAATTCCGCCTCGGAAAATTGTTCATGCTGTATGGTGAGATCATAGTCGTGCAATAGATACTAACCTGTATATATTTTCACAGTTCAGTCTCTTCATAACTACCAGACAATAGTGAGTCCCACAGAGCTCAATTCTTGGCCCAATTCTTTTCTTGATATATATCAATGATTTACGCAACTGTAGTCCAATGAATAACCTTATATTATATTCTCATGGCATCAACGATTAATAGACATACCTACATCAACTGAAGCCCTCAGATCAAAGCATGTAAATTGAAAACCTGGTTTGCATCAAATAAGCTAATCCTCAATACTGAAAAATCACAGTTTATGGTTATCAGTTTACGAAAACATAACACTGAATTATTTGAATCTGATAAATTCCTAGGAGTACATATTGATGCACATATGACCTGGGAGACTTATGTGGTACATGTAATGAATGATCTTTCAAGGTGTATATACATGTTGATAAATTAAATAAAAACTGTTTGCACTAATGTCTTGGAGACATAGTATTACGGTCTTTTCCATTCCATGATGTCCTACGCAATTCCTCAGCTGGGGCCATTAAGCACATATGGAGAAAATTTTTGCAATGCAGAAACGTAGTGTTAGATGTACTTGTGGCTTAGGATTTAGGGATCCATGTAGAGATGATTTGCCCAACTGCCAAGAGAAAAACCTGGAAAATATTTTCAAGTTTCTGAAATGGCCGCTGGGGGCGTAACTGGAATCTTAAATCTAAAGAAGTGATATTTCTGGGAATTCAAATATTATAACATTTGTAGCCCAAGAATAGCTGTGTTCAACTAGCCCAAGTTTGTTAAGATCGGTTCAGCCGAGCCAAGAATCAGCGTGTTTTTACGGTAACCTTTGAATACCCCCCGCCACTTAGTTTAAGATATACAGTAAAAATTATCAAACAAAAAATTTCACATTATCCTCGACAATAAAGATCAGATATTTTTTTTTGTTAGGTTAATAAAGCGGAATTCACAGAAACATCACTTTTAGATTCAAGATTGCAGTTAGCGGCCATTTCAGAAACTTGAAAATAATTTCCAGGTTTTTCTCTTGGCCGTTTAGAACTTTTTTTTGCCGCAAGCAGCTACGATGGATAGGTTCCCAGATACAGTACCTCGCATTCTTAGTTGGCCACCATGTACATGCTAACTTGCTTAGAAATCGCCATTTATATTCAACACACAGTGGTACGCACAATTTACCACTATAACGTCTACGAGTACATACAACTGGAAACGGGATTTTAATTAGCACGGAATTCGCTTCTATACGTATAATGCATTTCCAGATAAGGTCAAGCTCTTTAGCGAAAAGCTTTTCGAAATGAAAATAAAATGCTTCTTGATCAACAACTACAACTTTGATGAAATCATCAACAGTGACTTTTCAGAATTCCAATAGATCTTTTTATTTCGCTTTTGTGCTTTTTAAGTTTTTGTGATTGTGATGGTATTTATTGATCTTATGTATATTTATTCATGGTTATTGTTGCTTTTTTATTTTTATTTGTTGATAAATGATCATTGTCTTCCGCAAACACGCGGTGTGAGTGTCTAGGTCGAACGGTTCGGTCTGGAGACCTGCTGAAAGTATGGAGTTTCGACAAAAATGTGAATTTTTAACGTTTTGAAAACATTTCCACTTTCCACGAACAAAATTGATTTTTTGCATTTCTGGTTTCGGAAAGCATTCTAATTGTCTGCTCAATACGTTTTGGCCGAACCTCCAAGCCTTAAGCGCATTTCTAGATCAAACCGTTCGACCTAGGATCCTGAAATTTCACAAACCCACATGCCTCTCATACATAAGTACCCTAGGAAAAAAATGAGCCCGATCTGAGATATGACCCTACAAGCCATGCCTATATAAGCGTATACATACAGGTCCAGGGTGTGGCAAGAGTACCGGAAGAACTCGGTAACTCTTTGAGAATACATTTTAGAGCGAAATGCTTCGAATATACGAGTAAGTTGTAGGATTTTCCCTAAGCTATCGGTCGGTGACCTTGGATTCGACCTTGAAGATTATTTGAAGGTCAACTTTAAAATTTCAAATGTAAACAAGTACTTTGGTTCCGGTGATGAAACGAGTGAAACGTCCAAACATGATCATGAATGACCTTCATATTTGATCTTGACTGATCTTTCAAGGCCAAACTACCACTAACGCTGGGTATCAACAACTCCTCGGGAATGCATTTTAGTGGGAAATCATTATAAACGTTGCAACATTTTTTTTTCAGCTATCACAAGGTGACCGTGCATTCGATCTTAACCTTGATATTGGAGGTCATTTGAAGGTCAACTTCAAAATTTTAAATGTAAACCCATATTTATGATCCCGGAAGTGAAACGAGCTAAAAATTTTACGTTCAAACATGACCTTGAATCACCCTCACATTTGACCTTGACTTATCCCTTAACGTCAAACTACCACTAATGCTGGATATCGATAACTCTTCGGGAATGCACGAATTAAAAAATGTAAGGTTTACTTAACTTTGACCTTGGAAGTTATTTGAAGGTCATCTTCAAAATTTGAAATGTAAAGGATGTTAGTCCTGACAACTAAGGCAAGGTTAAGGGCCCCGGTAGTTTGACCTTGAGGATCACTATTCCAACACCTTATGTTCTTTAATTCTACAATTTATAGGTCTAGATGATTCACCAATACAATTTTAATTTTTTGTAATCACCTCTGGTTATTCAAGGTCAAATATTATAGTCATTCAAGGTAACATCTGAGCATAAAATGTTTTACTCGTTTCACTGCCGGGGTAAAAATTAGGGATTTTTATTTAAAATTTTGAAGTTGATCTTCAAATGACTTCCCAAGGTCAAATATGAGGGTCATCCGAGGTCATGTTTGAACGTATCATGTTTGAACAAAATCACTCGTTTCGTCACCGGAATCA